TAGAGTGGAAACTGAGTCAAACCCACAGGACTGAACTCTAGAAACCCGGCCATGCTAACAAGGTATGGGGGTCAAGCAGGCATGTACGCCACCACATATTGTCAGATACAGTGTTGTCAGATACAGTGTTGTCAGATACAGTGTTGTCAAGTCAAGAGGCACGATTTATACACACTGTTGTGTCTGGAGTATGTTCTACATGTACGACATCTGCAAACACTCCAGATATCTACAAAGCTCCATAATACTCAGGAAATATTGCCTTCTGTCTGCTGGGCGTGACGATAAATGGTCACGTCTTACAGCAGCTACATGTACATTGTACACTAGTGTCCGTGCTATCAGACTGTTTAAGTACCAAACAAATCGAGTGTACGACTCCTCTTGAACAACCTATGGCAGGAATGTTTGGTATGAACTGTTACAAAGGCTAAACTACATCGTACGGAGTCAGTAAACACTCCAGACAAACATGACTAGATCCTTATCTTGTCAGCACTTCTCAATATTGTTTGAGCTCTTTGTACTCAGGTTGACAACTATGAAAGAAACAGATTGTGTGTGGTATCTGCTAAACTTTTAGGTGTTAAATGTTAGAACTGTTTGCTATCTAACAGAATGATTTTTGACTGATCATTGGTTTTTTTATAGTTTCAGTCTGAAAGACTAAATTAAAACTTGATGAACTACATGTGTATGTTTTATATTGCATTGTGATCAGTTGCATTGAAAACATCCTGGATTACATACTATATGTAGAAAAGTGAAAGGTGCATTTTTTGGTACATGGAAAGATATAGGATTGAAATTGAGTACATGTATACTCTTTGACAAATTCACCTTAGAAGTTGTCAGATTTGATAGGAAATTAAAACTTCAAAAGCCAACTTCAGGAATGTTTTGTTTTATTTTAACTATCTAAACCAAACAAAGCAAACAAGCCAATCTGAGACTATCTTGAACTTTCAACCAATCAGTGATCAATCCTACACCAAAAAAAACTCTGACACATCCTATTCTAGATACATAACTCATAGTAACCACAAACTTTTCTTAAACAATCTAAGGATTTTGGAACAACTTCTAAGTTTAAGTGAGCTTGATATGGTATGACTAGAAGTTTTCTACGAACTAAAAAGCTCTAGTGACAGTGCCACCCATCCAGCAGTTGAGATAAGCAGTGTAGGGTAGCAGGTTTACCTCCCAGGCACATCATCCATCAGGCAGAGAGAATGACAACCTATTCTCTGACCATGGGTGAGAGGAAGGTCTGTGTATGAACTGTGGGTTGGTCAAGTGGTTTACATATTATATCAGTAACCTTTTCACTTAGGGCTGCAAATAAATACTCTCCAAAAGAGGTTTAGGCTTTTAAGCAAATTTTTGGTCTAACACCTTTTTTCGGGGTTTCTTTTCTTTTTCACCAGCCCTTTAAGTGGCAAATGGATAGTTTATTACTGAATACGGTCTTATCAATTTGATACTGTCTTGCATCAACCAAAAGATCTTCCTGGAGATTAGCCAGTGACACATAATTTTTCATAACTGTGCTATGTGAAGTATTTATCGAAAATAATTCATTTTAGCAGAGGCAGATGATCTGTTAACACACTAATTGATTGAAGGGAGGAGAACTGTTTAGAGCTTAACACTGCCCCTCCCTCCCTGCTGCGTTTTGAAACCCTTTGAGCCATGGGAAGATGAAAGTTGATCTTGTTCAGCCTTAAAAGTTCGCAAGAGCTCTTCAGACACTGACCCCAAAACTTTGTGCTTTTTAAAGGCTGACTAGGGAACACAGAGGCTGTCTCAAGAAAATCACAGGGGCACAAATTCAATCAATGGAAATTATACAGTCCAAAGTTAAGGCTTCAGGAAGATGCACTTGATTTAATTTAGCAAACTAGCAAATTCCAATGTTATTGACGAACTGCTAAAGGTTGTCACTAAGCTTTTGGACAGTTTATTTATAGCTCCCTTTGTCTACAGAGGGTAAGTCTCTGCTGTATGCAGGATTTAAAACCAAGCTCCTTTACCAACTGTTGAACAGAGATCAAAGAGCTCAAATAAAAGGAAGGAGAAGTTAGTGCCATAACTGTTTATCCAGTGTGGCATGGTGGTGTCACCGTGTACAGGGCATACTACAGTTTTAAGTGTTGTACATCATGAAACAAAGAAGACAATATCATAAATGTCATATAAATGGATTACCAATTATTTTATTGTGTGCTTAAATGCGTAAGCTGTGCAACAGTATTCCTGCATAGAAAATGAAACATTTTTTATCCTTCCGGAGCTACAGCTGCTAAGACCTTGATAATCAACAGGTGATAATGAGTCAATGGAAGTTTAAACTTCACTTTTATAAACACCAATGCCTTTGTTACATGACTGAAAAAAAATCTTACTTCAGTTAGTTCAAACAGAAGAAATTTGCTCCTCGAAGCATGTTTTCAAACCATGCTTTTTAAGCCAAGCTACACAGTGCCAAAATACTTTCAAGGTAGATTTGATGTCCACTTTCTGACTCTAACCTGACACCATACAATAACACTGCACCTGTTTTCAGTCTTAGAACAAAGAACCCTTTCCTGTGAATGGACACTTCAACAAGTGTTTTTCCAGAGAAACAATCACAGCTTAAGTTTCTGCGCAGTCCTACAACATCAACATCTAAAATTCAAAGTGCATACTCATTGAGACATATAAAGTACATACCAATTCAAATCAAAGGTTATCATGAAACAAATCAACTGCAGCCCTAAAATGCTGCTACAAAAGCCACCCTTCAATTACTTTATACATTCAGAAATATTTAAATTTGTTGGAAAATCTGGGAGAATGATTTCCTTACCTTTGTCAGCAGTGCTCTATAGTCACATGTGGAAGAGATGAGGCCAGATTTGTCTCCTACTAACCACCACCAATAGGATGTCCTGTACCTTATCCCAACTGGTATGCCCTGGAGGAAATGGTTGTACAGGATTAGAGTTAAGGAGACAAAACAAACTCCAGCAAGCAAGACCTTAATTTGACTTTCTGTCAGTTAGGAAAAGCATATGACAATCAATTAGCTGTGGAAGTTAACTTGGGTTTCACACTTTTTGGCAGGAGTTAAAGACCCAAGAGGTAGGAATTAAAGAGGCATGGAAATTGATGATGGCAAGTAAGATAACCTTACCTTGCTAAAGCTCTTGTTTCCTCCAGACACAAGCCACTAGACGTGCTCACAGTAGTCAACATTGTACAAAACATGGTTCATATCAATAAATTGATTGATAAATGTATTTCACATTAAAGGCATCCCATATAATTTCAGGGTGGTAACTGGTTTTCGTCAGTATTTTGGGCATTTTTCTTCCATGAATGTCGATATACAGTGTTGTTTCAATTTAGTATGTAGATAAGTGACTAGGATATTGATTTTGAAAAATCTGATTTCCAAGCCCTAAAAACTGCACTGGATGCATACAGAACAAGACACTTGTTTTGAATCTGTAAGCTGCTCTGCTTCCTGTCTTTCAGCAAACTACCGTGTAAAACTTCCCAAGGCTGAACAACATTCTGAACAAGCAAAGAGACTGGAGGCAAAGTACATAAACTAACCAAAGAACTTGAATACAGACCTTGGGTCACAAAGTTAATCAGACCTCAATGGTTTACACCATATTGTTTGAGGAGGAGGGACGAGTGTGTTTTGTGGGACTGGACAAGCATGGGAAGTCATGGATACCTCACGTAGGGGATTATAAAAGCATTACTAATCCCTCCCACACATGCTTATTAGAACATGAGCTCAGCATTATGTAGTTAACAAGGTGTGAGGTCCTGAGGAACAGTCCAAGACCGTGTCATCAAGTTCTAAGGCTGACCATAACTTTTCTTTGCCAATAAAGCTGAAGAATGTGCAGTGATTTCTCGGGTTGTAACCTAATCTCAGAAGAAAGTTTAAGGTTATTGACTTGGGATTACATGTAGGTAGTTAACACAGTGTGAGGTCCCAAGTAATTCAAGTTCCAAGAAACAAGTCCAAGAAAATAGAGGTCTGCATTAACAGTTATTAGGCCTTTGGTCATGACACATGATAGACACAAGCTTCTCTTCCATTCATACCATTCTTTATTTCTTAATGCACTTTTAATGGCTTTATAGAGCCAGTACATGTATAAGTGAACAGATACTTTGATGGCACTTGGAAATAACACTTTACATGGATGCATGTGGAGCCAGATGCAATCTTTACATTGTACTTCTTTCTGTTCAAAGTTTTCATCCAACAATATGCTATTAATACAAGTAGACATTCCATATTCTCTACAAGAAACATTTTTGGATTGCATACCAAAGCTCTTCTTCCTTTCTCATACAAAATAATTATCTGTTCACTAAGGAAGTCTTGTTGTATTGACATGACAAAATATATATAATGCAGTTACATGATTCTCAGTTAGACTTACTGTAAACAGGTTAACCAGATTGATACAGGTTAGTAAGTTACAAATGTATTTACCGAGTCAGTCTACATATTACAGGATGATACATATGGTATATTCTGATTTGACTTTTCATGGTGTGCATTGATGTGTAGGAAATCTTAATCATAACATTATGCATGTTCCTTAGGCCACACAAATTTAATTTCTTGGTTAACGGATTCGCCGCTTCATTTTTTTCTGATTTGCAAATAAAAATAAAAATTCAGAATCAACTGCAAAATGCTCATCTTTTGCCCTGAACAGTTGATAACAGTCCTTTCCATCCTAGTTGTTACAGTTGTTCCATCTTTCAATGCAATGGTATCAATAAAATCAAATCAAAATCAAAATTCATTGTTTAAATTTTGAACCAGCCTGGTGTGTTGACTTTATGGCTCCTATCGTACCATTTTGGGCCATGATAGGATGCCTAGGGCTGTTTTTATTTTTATTTATTTTTCGCCCGCCCGCTCCATTATTTTTCTAGAAAAATCCGTTAACCAAGAAATTAAATTGGTGTGGCCTTAGAATACAATATGTAACAATCAATGAAGTTTAACTTTTCCAAGAAAACCTGGACACTTGGCCCACTGTTGTCTCATTTCTCAAGGTTGTTAGTATGTCTGGACAGGCTTTAGAGTCTAAACGAAATCATACAGATACCTGATGATGTCAAAGTTTACTGTCCTGTAAAAAGAAGGGAAGAGATTATAATTACAGTGTACTCAAAATCATTTTCACAATGGAGGGAAGTTTCTGATAGATACCAAACTTTGTATTCAACTTGTTACATTCATCTGAATGGAATTCTTGTGACAACTATTTAAGCAAGGGGATAATCTTTGAACAAGAGAGAAGAAAGTTAGTGAATGTTTTTGGATATTAAATAAATACTTTTATATTGACGGTAAAGAGAGACAAAATCTGTTTGAAGATGTTCCACACCTGGCTATAGATCTGATGAAGTCCAGACCCACTGTGCATTTGAACTTTGACCCGTCCAGCTGATCATCACTGCCTACTTGGGTCATCAGGCGCAAAGTCACCAGGGAGGAGATCTATGGTGTCAACGGACAATAGAGTCAGCGAGCAGACTGCATCATGGCTCAGAATACTTACACATGTACACAGGTGCACTGTTGCAGGTAACACTGACAATGACCTGCATCAGACTAATTTTACCTGCAAAACTCAGACTTTAGGAAGTATGGATCATAGTTTGTTTTTTTTAAACTCAAGCTACTTATAACTCATCTTTCCACAACTCATCCATTTCCAAGTACATGTAAGTAATCTGTGAGTCAATGTGAGCAGTTGGTGCTACTTTAATAAAACTACTTTCATACTAACTTACCCCTTGTCAACACATAATTCTCAGAAGCTAATACGCAAAAAGGTTTTGGCAGTAGTTACCACTTTGATGAACAGGCTTCAGACTAGGTTAGTTATCATTTACTCATCTATTTCCAGTAACTAACCTGTGAGTAGATATTAGCAGTAGGTGCGACCTTTCCCTCCACAATGCTGTAGAAGATGGCCATCAGTCTGTCCAGTGGGAAAGGCTTGGGACCCAACAACTGACTACTGGTCTGTAGGGAACAATGGCAGTTTTAATTAGCACTTTTTGCAGAAATAGGTTTAGCTGGCATAGTGATGTTCATAATATGTTCATTTAAACTAAAGTAATCTTCCTTTACAACAAACATTGTCCAGTAAATGACTAATGACAGTCCTGTTCAGGAAATGCACATTTTACATCAATACAAAACTTTAACCTAATTTGTGTTGACGGCCACTCCACAGTCACCTACAATTGTAAATGTATCTTGCAAGCAGTACACAATATTGCATGCCACAGCATGGATATTAAAACATGATCATACAATGTTTAAAGATATCATCAGTCTCATCATCATCATTTATAGATATTATGAATACTGTCTAATAAAGTTATGAATACTGACCCTTTCATCCCTCTTCATTTGTTGTACAGTTTTCTTTGTCCTCCCAGCATGCTGTATTAATAAACATCATCATCATCAATAAACATCAAAACGATAAAATTCTAGACAGGGCTTAATCAAGGAACCATCATTCATTCAACATGGTACTGTTAAATTGTTCTTGTAGTCTTTAGTTGTGATAGTATATGATTTTGATTTCTCACACTCATTAAACCTAATGGAGACTAGCACTTTGTACACTTACTCCTACTGGAATCATCAACAACCAACCACTGCAGTACTGTTACTGATCAAAAGGTGGAGCTCATGTACAGACCTTGAGAAAGAACCGCCGGTCTGTTCGAGCAGGGTTGTAAGATGCCAGGTAAGCAGCAATCAGCAGAAACTTGGAGTAGAATGGCAGCTCCATATTCACTTTGGCTGTCAGGGGCAAACATAAAAGATATACAACAATTAGTCATTAATACCTGTCAATGGAGTAAATTTCAGGTTTGATTTTTCAATATAAACTGATGGAAGGCAGAATAGGCATCCAATTCGCCATCCCAACTTATCAGCCAAACTTTGTCTGCTCATTGGTATCAAAAAGTATAAAACTGATCAAAGCACTGACAAAACTTTGAAACAGCCAGCTACTAGTATAATGTTACCTTCATCTTACCTGCATGTCACTTTGTTCTATAAGTTTGCTCATAGGTAGAAATTGGCTAAGCATACTTTTAATATTTGCTCCTGATGACTCCTGTGAAGCAGCTTCTTCTTGCATCCTCTCCCATTGTGCACTGCAAAGAAAAAAAAGGGTCAAACCACTGGAATACTATTGGCTTTTGTTCAGATAAATATATGATCACTGAAAGGATATGTTTTTCCTGAGGAAGTAACAGAAGTTCCTCACCTGGACACTTCTCTCAGGTAGACAGTCTGTAGAGCTTTCCTCAGGTGTGGCTCAATGTTCCTCCATAACTTGTGAACATCTTCATCAGTGGCTGAGTGTTCACCAAAAAAGGTTACACTTAAAATTTCAGTACATTGTGTTTGCACCATATAAATTTCCTTCCGTATCATTCAGTTCTCTTAACAGTATTTCACAATTTAAAATACAAATTCCATACTAACCTTCTCCTCTTTTAATTGGTTCACAAAACTTTGGAAAGTTGAGTAAAGCCTGTAGAAAAAGCATAATAATACATATAATATGTTACAATATGACTCCCATTCCTTTAACAATCTATATACTCTTTGTACATGTATTCAAGTTTCATTCAAATTACCCATACAAAATCTTGAGACCCAAACGTAAGTAAGTGCAATTAAAGACACAACATTTCAAGACTTGTACTTACAAGGTGTCTTATCTCATTCAGGTTCCTGCAGGCCATGTAGAAGACACTCAGTACAATATTGACATAAGACATGTAGAAGTCCTTAGTGTAACCAGCTGGGCAGTCTAATGACGAAATCTCCAACAGTTCATCTGTAACAAAACAATCATATCAACACAGGATATTTGTTCTAATGAGTTTATAATAGATAACCATTTGTGTTCAACACATAAAAGAACAAGTAAAAATATTGTTTTCATAAAAAAGCTTTTGTCTATCAACAATTTTGCAACCTACAGTGAAGAAGTACAAGATATTGGATTATGACCTTGTCAGAAGCCCCACCTTTCGTATAATCTGGGAAGTGCAGCACCAAAGGTTCACACACCCCTGTCCCTGCTCTGAACTTCTCCCACACTATCTCTGTCAGCAGAATCACACATACGTTGCATCCAGTCTACAAAAATAAATGAACAGTGATTGCTTCAAACAGAAACAGCTATATAGATGTAACACAACACCAAATGTTAAAACTTTTGTTCCAAAACAAGAAATAGTTCTCACCTAGAGCTTTGAACAGTCACTCAACAGATGAACTTTCATGAGAGTTCAAGTGGCTGGCATGAATGCTATCAAATCCATTTATGATATGTGTACTTGAAAATTGCCAACATACCAGCTCCCCAAGCCTCAGAAAGGCAGGTAAGATGTTCATGTCCATCTCCCTCAGCCTCTCTGCTTTGTCCAATACCTACATGAAAGAACATGAGCACATGACATTATCATTGGATAACAGATTAACAATACAGTGTAGCTTAATTTCTACATCTTTAATCTGCATTCATAGAACATCCATTACTAGCATATCTGTTACTGTTAGTTTAGCAGTAAGTTTTTACAATTTCAAAAGATTAGCGTAATATAAGCCTTCTCACAATATACACTGTCTCCTCTTGTAGTTCTCGATCTTCTATAACTGTACGTAATGTCTTGACAAAATCGTTCATGTTGTCACAGCGGCTGTGGTTCGTGTAGCCGTTGTCTGGAGTGGGTGTTACCATGGCAACCTGGTTGAGGATGTGGTCGTACAGGAGACGGGAGGTGTAGCATTCCACACAGTTCACTAACGCATGGGGGAGCTGGGAACACATGACACACACATACAACAATGGTGATCATACTGATGGAATGGTCTTGGATCTGAATGCCAACCATTTAAAAACTTTTAGACATGATTCTCAAAGAAGTTACAAAAAGTGTCGTGCATGCAAACATAGTTTTTTTTAGGTAAGGCCACACCAATTTAATTTCTTGGTTAACGGATTCGCCCGCTTCATTTTTTTCTGATTTTCAAATAAAAATAAAAATTCAGAATATTCAGAATCAACTGCAAAATGCTCATATTTTGCCCTGAACAGTTGAAAACAGTCCTTTTCTTCATAGATGTTACAGTCATTCCATCTTTCAATGCAGTGGTATCATTAAAAGTTCAAAATTCATTGTTTAAATTTTGAACCAGCCTGGTGTGTCGACTTCATGGCTCCTATCATACCATTTTAGGCCATAATAGGATGCCTAGGCCTGTTTTTATTTATTTATTTTTTTCGCCCGCCCGCTCCATTATTTTTCTAGAAAAATCCGTTAACCAAGAAATTAAATTGGTGTGGCCTAAAGTAGGACCATAAGATATACCTTAAGAGTGTTAAGTATGCTACTGATGACGTGTGACTTGCCGGAGCCTGTGGGGCCATACAGGAACACCCTGGGGCAGCTTAGATGGTTATTCTGAAGAGAAAGAACAACACATCACTTACATTTTAAAGACGGTACATTACTAAGTACTAGTATTGACATATCATGCCAAATACTGATCTCAGCAAATCTATTCTTCCTCTTATAATTCGTTGTAGAAATATACTGAAATGTTTGTTGGGGCTAACGTAACTGAGCTACAATCCCACAAGACAGATACATCATTTAGCGTCCACCAGACTCATTCGAAGCTTGACTAAATGGTCCAAATCAGTTTAAAAAGGGATATAATTGGCCAGGCCAGGGGAGTTAGACAGCCAAATTGGTCCTTCCAAGCACATTACACTGTGTAATGTCCTTGGTCATGCTATGACTACTGGATAACTCCCCTGGCCAATTATATCTCCTTTTAGGCCGATTTTAATTATTATTTATTATCTATTCAGCCTGCAAAGGGGTCTGGCAGAGACTACATTGTGACATTTATACCTAGTAACTTAGTACAGATTTGTAGCATATTTCATCCGTACCTGTCCAAACAGTTGCAGCAGGAGTGTGAGCTGGTCCTGACGACAGGGACAGCTGCTGTACAGGTCTGCTAACTGTGCCGAGGGGTGGCCAAACACTGAAGGGTGGCCAGCTAACATGATAATGGCTGTGCAAAATTATGTTCCTTCTTGGAGTATGACACTATTTTCAGTGCCTGGAATATGAGTGAGAGGGTCATCAATATCAAATCTTTAATATCTTGTACCTGAGCTAGTCAAGTATTTAGTTATATGTTATGAAAATTATGTCATATTCGGTCAAAAACAACGTAAACAAATTATGTGGTAACTTCTTAGATACATATTAGTAATTAAAAGTTAGTTATGTACCGGCATGTTGCATTTTTGCTCATTTGTGAAAATTTAAATCCCCAAAACCGCATGCTTTGCCGCCCCCCTCCCTCCTCAATCTCTAAAAAAAAAACACTCAAGAACAGGATTTTGCCACCCACAACTTCCGATACATTCGCTCACAAAAGGCACCTAGAACGATTATACGTTCATGTGGGTTAGTATAAGTCAGCAGAGTTTGCACTTACTCGGAGAAATGAAGGCAGAAACTGGACGAGATCGCGAAAAAACTTCCAGCCTCAAACTCGCACATTTGCTTTTCATCAAACACCCGCCACTTTCAAGCTCTCTGATTGGTTCAAAAATTTCTGGAAGAAACTATCTTGAATAGAAAATAGGAGTGATTACAAACAATCTAGTTTAGATGCACGGCAAATAAATCTAGTATAACTTCATATTTTATTCCAAGTTAATAAAATATATAGCTAAGATTGCTGTTAATGAAGTATATAGTGTTATACTATGATTTTTTTCCATAAAGTCATATTCTAAAAGGTCAGATGCCTTAAAAAAAACCCATATGAAGTAGACTAATCTGAGGTCATAGGTGACATTAGTTATTCTGACTCCAATTTCTACGGGTCGAGGAGCATTTGTGTTGAATATGGGTGGATTTTCATAACAATAGAGCGTAGAGGCGGGCCTCGAGGGGGAAGGAGACGTGAAATTGTGCCTGGGAGTGACCTCTCGTAGTCCCCGGGACAGTTTGGGCCCCACCTAGGTAACATTCCGGCGTTCACACGGCCATAAGCAGGCACGGATCACAGGTGGTGTTTGTGTTTGCTTACGTGCAGGTGTGTCCGTTACTCAAGTACGTAAACAGATATAGCGGAACTAAATTACTTTTAGAGAAGTGTGGAATCGAATTTCACAAAATTTACGAGGTCACCCTTGGTCGAGAGCCCCCTTACGGTGCCCGGACCACAGTATCCTGATACTGGACAACATTCAAACCAGGTGAGATGGAAACATTGGTGTAGTATTACAGTCACCCTACCCGGTCTTAAATTGTACAGCCTTCATAGTTCATTTCGTACCTTTTATTAGCAAAATATTAGAAGAAACTAAACAAATGTAGTATACTCATCTCTGATATCCATGCTCATTTTGAATAAGTCTTATGAATTATAATTTCTATGAAAGGCTAAAGATTAATGTTAAAGAAGCAAGGAGAAAATCATTCTCTGTGCCAAACATCACAGGTGTGTTTGCTGATCCTATTATAAAAATTCCCAAGTTGTTGACTTGTGCTGGAATGGTTTAAAAGAAAGCTAGCTCTGCAAATATGTGCATATGATACTGTTCTTTTTCATGAGTTGTGTTTGTTGCTTATTCTTTAACAGACGATACAAACGATACGCAAGCTGAGAAGATGTACAACGAGGAGCTGAAAATCTACCACAGTAGCTACATCCGCAACGCACGAGCCATCGGCGTGTTGTGGGCCATCTTTACGATATGTTTTGGGATCATAAACCTTGTAGTGTTCATACAGGTACGTAACTATGTGGCCTCTGTATGTTGTACAAGCTGTAACAAGTCTTATGTTCTGTTGTTGAATCTGGGTGGAAATTTGATCTATACTCTATAGAGTGATTTTATCCAATTAGCTAATTCCATGACAAGTGCCTGCCATAAGATATGTGTAATCTACAGAGTATCATTGTAGAATTTAACTCCTACTTCTCAGAAACTCAGCATTGTAGTAAAACCTTGTTTTGAGGACATATTTTTTGGTAGATGAATGCCTGGCTTGCATGCAGAGATTGCTGTTAATAAACTTGATGACTAGCAAAAACACAAGTGAAAAGGTACCCCGTGTATGTACTTTGTCCACACTCATTATTTGCCAAAAGAATGTCATCTAATTTCATGTACATTTGTACTAGAAGAGTCCATCATAATATAACAGATGTCTTGTACACATGTATTGCCATATTCCTTACAGACTTACGAAAAGTAGGTCTCATGTTGACAGCTTTTACGCAGTACTGAAGCTTGACCAATCACTCCAATTACATTACCTCCTTGTGTTGCATGTAAAAAATTCCATCATTTACCATCAGCAATTCTTACCAAACACCCATTCCCTGATTATCCATTACCTTACTTTATAGTCCATATCACATGCACCACCAGCCAAGGCTGGGAAGTCAGTATGGTAGTTGGCATTGGTCCAAAAATTAAGCATTTCTTCTCACTACATTTGTCCAATATAATTTTAACGTAAACCATGACCATAGCCATATACAGCCAGTTGGCCGAAGTCCATTTCTGTAAGGGTTACCCTTACAAGTTGTACATACAAAAGCATGACCATGTGCATGTAGTTATGTTTCCAGGAGTTTATACAGGCTTGTCTTTTTATTACAATCCCCAAAGTAGCAATCAAGTCCGGGGAGTTATTACCAAAAATGCACTGAACAGCCATAAATGTGGGCTCTTCATTATTTTGATACATTAGCAATATCCCAAAGCTTATTGCATCGCATACTCTTGTCCTACAAAGAACCCAGGAAAAGTATAGGATTAAATGATATGATACAGTTTCATACATTTTGAAAGGGAATATTCTATTTGGTTGTACTTGAACAGCAGATGATTTGAATGTTGCTTTTACTGGTAGTACAATAGTACAATGATACGAATTTCAGGCCCTATTGGTATGGTTGCAAAAGTGCCATCTGCTGTGTTGCACTTTTAGGTAGGAACATGTATTTAAGAATGTATATCAAGCAAAACTTACGTGTTTTATATACATTTTCATTTCATTTCATTTTTATACAAAGATTAATTACAACGTATGTGTATGTAAAGTGTGCAGGTGTTTTGCAAGTCATTAAAACATCAATACAATTAACAAGTTGCAGATGGAATTTAAGGAAAAGACACTATTCATTTGTTCTACACAATATCTAAGGTCTGAACTGTCTTTCAGACAGCCAATGTATGTTAGTGTGCAGTCACTGTGTTGTTGTCATCTAAATTTAGATTCTAGTAAATGTCAAAGTTGTCAATACACAGAGATACATGTACAGATAGGACCCTAATGGCAGTCCCTTTGTGTTAAATACTACTAGTAGTGTTACCAAAACATTCATTGAAACATAAAAATATATGCCCCAGAAAATATACCATTTTGTTATTTTTTCATCAGACCTTAGAAATACCAAATTACTGGGCACAAAGCAGTTTTTCTAAAATGTTGAATCAGACACTGAATCATACTATTATGAGTCATTCTATTGACTATGAAAAATTGCATTCTATTTATTGGGTGTTTTAGGGTTATCAATGAATAATGAGGTATTTTTAAATGTCAACCTCTCTATTTTTGCTGTGCCCATTTCCTTCTTTGATTTGAAAACAAAATTCAAAATCCTGCAATGTGTTATCATCATAACAATAATGCAAATTTTAATGCAGACATATGAAAATATGAGAAACAACATTCAATATCATAGCACAACAGCCGTCACATTTTTCATCTCTTTAATGCCTATATCTTGTTAACCTAGATACTTGACATCTCTAGTGTATACTTATTGATGATGAATACAGATGAGATTGGAGCTGTGCAGGTGAAATTTGTCTGGTGCAGGTAATTTTTAATACATACACCAATGTAGCCAGGTATGCAGAAAAAAACTACATCTGGTGTTGTGGTACAGGCTGCTTCATGTCTTGCATCATTAAAACAAGTTGTATTTTTCTCCCCATCCATCCTGGATAGGTGATTCTGATATACTATACATGTAGTACATACAACAAATGAGTAATGGAAAAAATATTGCAAAAGAGAAAATGCATGCTTCATGTCTTATTTTTCTCCTCAGCCATTCTGGATAGGTGACTCCAAGGACACACCGATGACCGGTCACTTCGGCCTGTACCGGTACTGTCTGGGCAGGGGCCTGACCCAGACCCTACAGTGTGAGGGGCGGCTAGATGACTTCACCACCATTCCCAGTGACGCTTTCAAGGCAGCCACCTTCTTTGTGGGGTTCAGCTTCCTGATGATCCTCATCTGCATCATCTGTATGTTACTCTTCTTCTGTGTGCACGCAGAGAAGGTCTACAAGATCTGTATGTGGCTGCAAATTGTTTCTGGTGAGTTTTCCCTGGTTGGTTTCTTAAATCATTAAACAAAATCTCTAACTGTAACATTTGCATATGGTCAGCTCTGTTAATTATTACGCAAACAAATTCATATGTTGACAGGAGTCTAAATCCCTCCTGCTATAAAATTGCAACATGATGTAACCCAAGACTTGTTACCATGGTGACAGACATCTGGTTCATTGACCTTATTTGTTTGGAGAAGAAGAAAAGGAACAAGAAACAGAGCAATATGCTGTCCTTCTGCGAAGGTAAACATAATTAGATTTCCACTTCTCATGTGTATGCACTACTACTGACTGTCCCTGAATACAAGTAGTGAATGCTTATTAAATGTCTGACAGTTTCCAAATATATCCAGTTGCCTGAATAACAACTGTCTAACCTTCATTAACGTTATTACGATATTGTTACCACATTGGTTTACACAGGATATATAACAGGTGGTTTACATGCAATTTAATCACTTAAGTAGATGTGAACTAGTCACCAGAAGGCATCTGGATGTAGTTAAGTTAAAAAGTGGTCAAAATATTACTTCTTCAAATTTAACTCTCTCAAAGTGGCAAGCATTCTGGTTTGAAATCAAAGTAACTGTGCTAACTACAGCTACAGGCCATCCTATTATTCTCCTGATGGTTTGTTTGCATAGTGAAACCCCCTAACAGTTTTTAATCCATTATCACCCTACTGTAAACTATGTACTATCCCAGCATAATGAGCAGGGTGTGTCTTTTCACAGCATGTGTAATGGGAACTAAATCCTCCACACTTACTGTTTACAGGAGGGTGTGTCTGTGTGATTAGATACACATTCTTTATAGACTCCCCCTCGTTAACAACAATACACCACACTATTACTAGATGTGTTCTAACTAACAGTTGTTTACAGTGTTTATTCTCCAGAAAACAATTTTCAATTGTATCCTTTGTTTGACACTCACACAAGACAATTTTGGATACAGTTGTGCTAATGAGGCTAAATGGTCTGGTGACTACAGTAAGCTGTGAGCAGTTCAGTAAATGACAGGAATAGTTATACAAAATGAGAGTGCAAATGAAATAATGAAGAACAAGTGGCTGGTTTTTGAGAAAAGCGTATAAATGAAGCATCAAGGTTGAAGCTGTTTTGAAAAACATTGCATAAGCATCTTCCCCCCTCTGTCATACTTTTGTGTGTATTGAACCAGCACTATAAAGTACAGGGTAGAGCTATGGTAAGAAGGAGCTCAGTGCAACAACTGTCCAACATGCCTTGAACCATGAAGGGGGCCAGGGCCAACTCTGATGCAGAGGGCAGGGTGGTTAGACTGGCCTGCCCTGGAACCAGCATGGCTCACAATTTCAATGTTACACAGTAATGGTTTCCATGGTAATGTCTTTTCTACCTCTACTTGATAGCCAAAAATGGAAAGTGTGGAGTTGAAAGTATGAAATATGATCTTGAAAACACAAGTACATGTACTTTATCAAGGATGTATCACCAAACACAAAATGTCTCTCCACCTTTTATCTGCTTGGAGGTTATTGTTAGAAGCAGCTTCCCAGGATAATATATCATGTCTGTATGCATGTTCCAGGGCTGGGTCGAAGAAAAGTGGCAGCTGATTTGCATAACAATGCCGCTGGGTGACCTCAGACCCAGTAATTGTCAGAGCGGCCTCTATCTTCAACAACACCCAGTCTATTGTTGTCACTGGGAGTCGTCTCCTGTGGGACGATTCAGCCCAAATAGTTGTGTGTGGAAGGTTCTGAACATTGGACACAACAGCTGCTAGAAGTCAGCCAGACTGCCTGTTACGACGTGGCTAATTGGTTAAAATTGTTCTTAGATTAGAACAGATTTCTTCAGTTGCTTAGCAAGAGCGTGTGGGACGAGCCCGGCCTATTCAAATGGTCTGAATTCTTCCCCTTTCAAGAGCAAATTTGGGATTATAGTTTGCGTGAGTGTTGGAATCCCCGTCACCATGTCTGTTGTTGGCGATTACTATGGGGAGACGGTCATGTACGGTCCCACGATGAGGGACGACGACATGGATCGACACTTCTACTGGCACAAGATCCAGGTCCGCGTGATCTCGGTGCTGTGGGCGATCTTCACGGTCTGCTGGGCCATCATGAACATCGTGGTGTTCGTCCAGCCCTTCTGGATCGGAGACAGCAGCACTACGCCGATGTCCGGGTACTTCGGGCTGTTCCAGTACTGCCTGGGAGGGGCGACGCCAGCGCTGACATGCCGCGGAAGATTCGACGACTTCAGCTCCATCCCGTCGGACGCCTTCCGCGCGGCGGCGTTCTTCGTCTTCTTCTCCATCCTCATGGTGATGATCACGATTATCCTGATGTTCCCGTACTTCTGCCTGGTGTACATCGACGACCGGCGCGACGTGAGCAAGCCCCCCTCCCGCGCTCACATCATCATCATGATCGTTTGTGGGGTTCTTCTGCTCATCTCTGGTGAGTTGTAAAATGGCATCAAACCAAACGCTTGCCGATGGATTTTTCAATCTTGAGATTTTCAAAAAATACTCTCCCAGTGGCATTTTTTTAAACATTTAGGAATGTTATGCAGGAAAGTGCTGAAAAAATTGTATCAATGGTCATTTTGTGATCATTTCAAGAATCTTTGTGTTTCAGCAAAGAGGTTAAAAAGAGATGGTTTCAGAAATGGTTCTTGAAAAATTACCAGTATATGTGAATCCATGTCCATTTTGCTAGATGACTAGCATATTATCATAAGTCCAATGCCTTCAATATTTACATTCAATTTCTTCCACTTAGAGACTCATACTATGAGACTCATTTAAAGACTCGTGTATGAAATAGGTTCTTACATATTTGTCCAAGTGACATAAAGTATGTATACATACAGTATGTGCCCACTACAAAACAGAAGAATGGCGTGTCCCAGTGTGCTAGCTCCAGGTGTATGGGCTATGGGTGTGGCATATAATGGTGAAAGCAGTTAGCTTATAAATTATGCAGGTGTTCCATGTCCTATAGGAATTTTCACAAAGGTCACACTGTTGAAAGCTGAGAGTTTACTGGACAAAGCATCCATTTTGTTTTTTATCTCATATCATAAATAATATTTTTGTAGTTCTTAACAAAGGTATACTGACTTCTACATAAAGTTGCTTTTTTTTGTAAATTCAAATGCTATGTCTATACAAATGTAAGTTTCAATAGTGAACATCATGTTATGAATACCAAGACAGGAACTAACACTATCCCATATTCTTCTGCGTTTTCGTGACAAGTACGTTTTCTTACAGACTGTTGGTGATCCATATGTAGCTTACTTAGATAGTAGCCATGTTGTTTTTAAGAGTCTATTGAGCTGGGAATTGAAGGTCATGCTAGTGTAACCTTCTGTGTCAATGACCAGACCCACCCAACCAGTTAAACCAGTGTGAGTCATACTGTGTTTTTCTCACGCTTGGTCTCTATTTTTGCTGCAGATATTCCAGAGCCAAATGCCAAAGTCTAAACATATCTGCATTTAATAGCAAGAATTTTCAAGGCACCAGTGAAAATGTTTATCTCTTAAAAATTAACATTGCTTGAAATACATCCTTGCACTCAGACCATTTCAAAAGAAGAATACAATGCAAAAATACAGGTGTAATGGTAAGGACTGTCACTATAAATTGCATGAAATGAAGATGACTTGAGGTACAATCCATTAGTTTGGTTTGGACCTAGACAGGCAGTTATTTAGCACTTTTGTTATGTATGGCAGATAGCAGCAATTTTCTGCCCCATTAAGAAGAGATAGGATCTGGGAGCCTATCTGGATAATGGCAGACTGGGGTAACTGTGTGATTACAAAAAAATTCCAGGGAGGATAATGTAGAGTAAAGGACTGCATTTTTGCAAGAATTGTCTTGCCATTGCTTTATCACATTGCATATTACCACATGATTTTTCCTTTGCAGATCTACACGTGTATATGTATAGAAGCAAAAAAAAAATGCTGCTCTATATTTAGACTTTGTTATTCAAGCTATTAACCTGAATAATCAAGAGCCACTTGAGAGTCTTGCTCTTCAAAGGATTTTTTTTCAAACAAACTCAAATGATACAAATGAATGCAAATAGGAAGCATCTTGATCTTAGAATGTATTTCTCTATATACATGTATGTGTATAATAGTATATGTATATATGCAGTATAACAGATACATGTGTATGTGTTATGATAATGATCAGTAATTGTCATGATCATATTAAGTGAATTGCATTTCAGGAAAAACTCTTGATAAAGCTTGGAGGTTTCTTGTTTCCCTTGCATATTCTCTTTACCATTGACAACAAAATTGTTTGTGTTTTACATGCAAATAAACAAATCTGTTGTGTCCTGTCCAGCCCTGTGCATGTTCCTGGCCTGTGTGATCTACCCTGCTGGTTGGGACAACTCGCTAGTCGCTGGTCTGTGTGCCAACGGCGCCGAGAAGTACCAACAGGGGGAGTGCACCATCCGCTGGGCCTACATCCTCGCCATTATCGGTATCTTCGACGCAGCGATCCTCGCCGCCCTCGCCTTCTTCCTGGCCGACCGACAGGAGAAGCTGGCCTTCGCCTCGCACGGACTCATCAACGGAGGGCCCGCCGGTACAGTACCTCCTCCCCAGGCTATCCCTCCTTCTCTCATTCCTACTGAGTTACTGGAGCCCAACCCTGACTACATGGGATAAAACAGCAACTGTCTGTCTCTTCCTCATCTGTCTGCCAGTACAGTACCTCCTCCCCAGGCTATCCCTCCTTCTCTTCTTCCTACTGAGCTACTGGAGCCAAACCCTGACTACATGGGATAAAACAGCAACTGTCTGTCTCTTCCTCATCTGTCTGCCAGTACAGTACCTCCTCCCCAGGCTATCCCTCCTTCTCTTCTTCCTACTGAGCTACTGGAGCCCAATCCTGATTACATGGGATAAAACAGCAACTGTCTGTCTCTTCCTCATCTGTCTGCCGGTACAGTATCTCCTCCCCAGGCTATCCCTCCTTCTCTCATTCCTACTGAGTTACTGGAGCCCAACCCTGACTACATGGGATAAAGCAGCAACTGTCTGTCTCTTCTTCATTTGTCTCCTCCTCCCCAGGCTATCCCTCTTTCTCTCCTTCCACTGAGTTACTGGAGCCAAACCCTGACTACATGGGATAAAACAGCAACTGTCTGTCTCTTCCTCCTCTTATCTGTCTTAACCTCTGTCTTAACCTCTGTCTTAACCTCTGTCTTAACCTCTGTCTTAACCTCTGTCGTCAGGGCTTGAAATACTTTTTTCTGGATACCTGCACTGGTGCAGATAACATTGAAAATCACCTGCAGCAGACAAATTTTACCTGCCCCAGTCAGAGTATAGAAAGTATGGATCATACTAAAACTCTCCTCCTACGTATTTGTAGTTGCTGTGCTTCTTGACTTAATTTTGTCATACTCAATAACATGATTGCACTGTGCATTGTAATGCTAGATACTAACTTTTATGCTGTGTAAATGTCGAAGACACCGATAATGTAAGAGTACTAATACAAAGTATGATCCAATATCATAAAGATTTTGTGTAAATACGCAGATGATAAAACTATTTGGATTATTGAACTGCTGTTTAGCTTTCAAGCTCTCTCTGTACATGTACATGTGTCTTTCTCTGTCTGTCTACAAGTACAAACATCTATCTGCCATCTAGATTGAAAATGTCAAAAACAAAGGGGATTCAGTAAGAGTTTTCCTCCTGCACAACATCATAGAAGTTTTAAAAGATATATCCCTTTATACATTCCCTCTGTAACTGTTTATACTCTTTGCTCTACATCTGTACAAAGTTTCAATTCTTGTGAATGTATAAGCATGTCCATGTCTCTAACTAAATGACGGTCATTCCTCTATCTTTACTGTATCTGCACAACAGGTTTGTGCTGTCTGTACATGTATTTATTCTGTAGCTCATTTTTACGGACAAGAAGTTTTGACACACACTGGTGTGGTCTACATATAAGCCCACCATAGATTCCAAACATGATGCGTTCTTTTAAGCAATAAAAACTTGACATGATGTGCCAAAGGCCATGGTACTATTATTTGTAAGCATTATTGAAACTTAGATCTTCGAAATATAAATCATATATACATGTATCTTCTGTAGGGTAACGTCTGTTAGACTGTTCATTGTGTGAACATAGATATAAATCTGATTCAGAAACGATTTCCTTTTTGCAAAGACCCACTTTCAGTGCTGCAGAAAGGTACAAGGGAGGACAGAAAGCCAGCGGAACTGGAGACGCCATGCTGAAGGAGGTGCTACACTAATAGTGAAAGCCACTGCATTTGGAAATTTTGATTACCTGCTTCCAATGACATGTAGCTTCCTGATCTGAGAAGGCAACAGGCAATGATTGACAGCCCATTTATTAATAACTTTTGACTTGATTAGCAGCAACGAATCAGCCCGCAAGAAATAATGTTCTGTTTGTTGATCTTGACTGGTATCTGCAATGACATGTTTGAATTGAAGTAATTTTTACTTGCCAGGATCACAATCATGAATGAAGCCATGTTGCATCCGAAGTAAAGACTGCTCTGCTAAAATCATCATCCAGTCACAAGCAACCAATCAGCAGCACACAATGTCACATGATCTTAACCAACCAATAGAAACTAACTTCCACATTCAATTTTGCAAATTCCACTCTTCTATGATCTCTCTTCTAATGTTTCCAGCACACAAGTAAGTCTTACTCCTCTGCTCTTCTTCCACCTTTCTCTGCCTAAAATCAGACTTCCTTTCTGATCAACCCCAGTTATGATCTTTCATCAATTTCATGATTTGGGAATGAGAAAGCATTGAATCTTGAGTAAAGAGGCTTTTTTACACAACCAAGTCTTTTATTCAACGTTTCGGTGACCGTCTGTCACCTTCCTCAGGGCAATTCTGACTGGTTCACATTGCACTGCAGCACAGGTGACGGTCACCGAAACGTCGGCTGAACAGAAGACTTGGTTGTGTAACTGTTACAGTCTCTTTACTTAGTGACTTACCAACCTGATGAAACTATTCACGGTTTTGCTTGTCTTGTAGGCTATGGAATGGGTGACCGTGCCGCCTCCATCTCTGGACGTTCCATCGGATCGAAGCGTTCCTTCCAGCCCGCTCCCCTGGCTCCTGAACCCACCGAGGCCTACAACTACCACGCTGAGCCCATGCCGCTGGACCGCCGCACCTACCAGTCCAAACGGCGCGGCTCTGGTGCAGGTTCACAGATCAGCAGCAGTGGAGCTTTTTATCTGTAATGCCTAACATCTATGCACTAACGGTCACCCTTCATATGTGATTCCTTTAAAAACAACCACTGTGTAGTACTGTATGTATTGTACTGGCAGTTGTACAAGTATATAGTATTTAGTGGGGATGAACAGCCATTGTTACATCCGAATAGAAAATTTTTGCTTTTCCCCATTGTTTTGTTGTATGTAAACTTGTAGTTTTGTTGCATTACTTGTATACTAGATAATACATGTTCTTCAGTATTTCTACAGTATTCTACAGTATTTCTACTTCTACAGTATTCTACAGTATTTCTACTTCTACAGTATTCTACAGTATTTGTAGAGAGATAAAAAAATTATACAACTCACCTTTATTACAAAAAGAGTTATAATAGTACTTATCAATACATAATCTACACCAAGTATCTCTTACCCACTTTAATCAAAGCTTGGTGGCAAACTTACTGTCAGCAAAAGCATTAACTGGTGATTGGGACCAAATACAAATAAATACAGTTAAACTTAAAGACAAGTTTTGTAACTTTAAACGTTTCAATGAGAGAATAAAAAAACTTTTACCCTTGAACGAAATTGCTATTGAAAACGTAATAGTTGAGAAAAAAAAGATTTTCAGCATTTTAAAGGTTTTTACCAGTATTTCAGAAGACTTCTCTCAAATCAGATTAAATCTGTGTATAACTCTACTCAACAGTTCTTACTAGTACATTGTACTTACATTCTAGTACTTAGTGGCAGCTAAAATTTTTGGAGCTGTATCAGTGTAGTCTTTTGAGAGTTGTGTGGGTGTAGCTTGCAGAGGTGATACAAAGTTTACAGTTTTTAGACTTGTGAAAATGCTACCAGTTCCTGTTCTTACAAATGTTGCACAAAATGTTTTATTTATGAAGCTCTGTAGAAGTGTATTTTATTATAACCCAGAAGTGTATGTTATTGTAACACAGTATGCTTAATATGTACTGAAGTTATCACCTACTTATTTATGTATAGAGTGCCGGTATACACAGTGTATAGTGATATATGAAAGGTATACATGTATTATAATACTCTGCATGACAAGTTATTTAGATGCTACCACCCTACTGCAAATCTTGTTATTTTACTGATTCAAATTCTTTTGCCTTTTTTAATCCATATCATAAATGTAAGACTTTAAGAAAGCATTTACAGCATTTTAAAGCATTTGCAGCTTTAAAATGAATATTTTATGCATTATTTAATGTTAATAGTTACAAAAGATGGTATGTAGTTTTATACAAATCAAAGCTTCACTGTCAACTTTCATCTTTCTAATCACACTATGCAGTAGGTAGATACTATCAAAAACAGTGCAGATTCTACACTTCATTCAAGTGATTTGGATGGTATGTAAGACATATCAGGAGTGGCCCATAAAGTGGGTTTTGTACCAACTGGACTCAATTTGTACATCAGTGTGGTGGTGTTTTCTGTCACCTTTTTAATAAATGAGTAGATATGCCTGGAACTGTGGTTTCTGAATTCCATAAGCTTCACTAAATTGACAAGCTCTGTTGAACTAACTCATTATAAATTCTAGCCTCTATCAGGCTTGAGAAGTGGTTGGAAAGAGAGGAAAATGGCCAAATAGACAGATCACATGCCTGGGAAGTTGGTCAACTGAAGAAGTACAGTTTGCCTCACCCGCTACTGAAGCCCATTAAAGGCTAGATAAATTCCACTTTTTTTAAAAACAACCCTGCAAGTAATATATAAATAATACACATTATGTAAATAATGCATACCAATTTTCTTTACTTTAATGCAGCATTTATTCATATTCAATGTACATACAACCATCACAGAAGATTGATACCCAACCAACATAACCTCAAAACTTTACCACAAAATGAATTGGCAGAACATGAACACAGGGTTCTGTACCTTTGCACCACAAAATATCAACATATAATTTGCTTTTACAGTTGGACCCTTCAATATACCAAACTGTTTTCCTATTAAACATTACAAAAAATGAACCAGCTAAACAAACTACCAGAATTCTTAAAGCAAATCAGATTATAGTATTATTCTGTGAGCAAATGCAGCTAAATGATCAATTCTAAATTGTGGACTACATTGTTGTTTTTAGCACTCCTGCACAGGGATTGCTTCTGTGTCAGACAGCACACAAACACTTGCATTGAACAACAGAAACAAGAACACTGTGAATAGTGTAAAAATTCTGACTTTCTAGTTATAAATATACTTTCTGGTAGAACATGTTGTCTTATCCAAAACCTCATACTTCATATCTTCATATCATGACAGACAATCTATCAATACTATGTACCTGTTAAGTCAGTTTAAAGATGAACTTCATACATCTTAACACATCTATATTCTAGTTGTACAACAGATGTTTACCAACATTTATAATGCATATACTTTTGAGTATATGCATACATGAACACACAATGTTATGTGTATGAAGACTTTCCTCTACGTTAACTACCTACCTTGCCTACCGATGTATAACATATTTCCACTAACCACCACCTGCATAAATATAAGGTACCCACTCCCATATTCCTGTATCACTTAGTATATATGTAATCTAAACAATATGACCCAAGGGATGTTTCCATATTTGGTCGTCTGTCCACAACTGCCATGCTTATCTAGTCATCCATTTAGTGCAGCACGTTGGCAGAATGTACTGTGCAAAACCCAAATGTTTGGTTTTTGTTAGGATGTTTGTTCAACATTGCATCAGAAGTTTGCCTGTTGCAGACAATATCTTTTCCAACACAACATTTGAAAACTCTAGACAGGATGTCATCCTTCAATGCGTGAATACAACCTTAAACGAGAAGTTCTGCCTAAGTGCTGCGCACAATACATTACGGGTTTTGTGCAGGCTCAGTGCGTTCTGCCAACAAGCTATAAGGTGGGCATGTTACATATATATAGATGGATGTTTATAAAGAGATATCTTACATACACTGAACTGCTAACTGTGGGACAAAAAATGGGATGTGGCAGGGCCTAGGAACATTCCTGTTCTGGACACAACGTGATGAGGAAGACATCCTAATTGTACTTGACTGTTATCATAATAACATGATATGAGAAACATGTTTTCTTATCATGTAGGACACTAACAATCTTAAGGGTGTATATCATTGGAAACAGTGGTGTCAAAAATGTCAAAATCTCACAAGATGGACACTGAGACACTGAGTCTTGCAAAACCGCTATTGGAGACCAATACAAAACTCCAGTGTGATACCTATCTCATGAGACTTGACCACTTGGCAAACCTCCAGCAGCCGTAGCCTAAAAGTCCCAGCAGCCCCAGCTTTACTGTCCACCTCAGTATAACCTGTGTTCGAGATGTTTGGGGCACACTGGAAAAAAAAAATGAGAGTTGTGCAAAGTACTCAAAGACTTTATGTACAATAAATGTTTTTTGACAGTGCTAAAAGTTAACTGTAGGATTGGGCAAGCTTGGGGGGCTTCTAATGCCCTAACAAAAGTGTGGAAATCCCCAATAGCCAACTCTACCAAGCTAAAAGTCTTTAAAACCTGCGTTGAGTCAATCCTGCTCTACGGAGCTGACTCGTGGTCTCTGACAGCATCCTTGTGTAAACTTCTGGATGGGAACTACACCCGCCTGCTTCGTGCAGCCCTCAACATTTCATGGAGGAGTCACGTGACCAACAACCAACTTTATGGAAATATGCCTCGGATTACAACAGTCATCCGCAACCGTAGGCTGTCGCTGGCTGGCCATGTCATGCGACACGACGAAATGGCAGGGTTGGTACTTCTCTGGTCACCAACAGAAAAGCGGAGACGCGGTCGCCCTTCCTTAACTCTGAAGAAGGTGATAGAGGGGGACATAGGGCTGGGCGGTGCTGAACTGTCCTCTGTCATGCGCGACAGGAACTTGTGGAGGCAGTACATCGTGTCACCTGATTGAAGGATGAACTGAACTGAAAAGTTAACAAAGTAAGACTTTCCAACTTGTCCTACTAACCTGAGTAACCTCTGGATGTCCACAATCTTGCTCCAGTTTTCCACAATGCCGGGGACATGTCCCATTCCCACCACACCAACCACAACTGCTGGTACAACTCCTGCAATACATGACATTTATTTGGGGAAGCATACATAAACTCTAAAAAAGATAGTGCACTTCATAAAATTTGAACATTTCCTGTCACAAGTCAACACTGAGAGTACACAATGTCATGTACCTTCCTACTAGATGGGATTACAAATGCACACTACTTGTGACTTGATTTCCAGTGAGTACCATTACTAGTATTTCGGAGGTTTGGGTACATGTTTCAAAAATGCGCAATCAACAGACCTTGTGCATCATGAGAAGGCACGGGGCGGGCTGCTAGGCGCAGGGAGTAAGCGAGGTACTGGTCTCGCTCCGTCACGAACACCCTACTGAGCGCGGGAAATTCTCCAGTCATCTCAGCCAGCATCTCCTCCAGTAGGTCCCTCTGTTTGCACTTTTCTACCTCTTCTTTACTGAAGGACAAAAATTTCACAATTTCAGGCAAGTTAACATAAAAAGAAAGCAAATGTAAGATGTTTTCATTTGCATGGTCTAGTATATGGTGACCAGCCTATCCAACTATGTCCCGCTACATAATGTAACCCAACACAGGGTGTCTGCTACAGCACCAGTTACCATGGTGACAGACATCTGGTTCAGGACATTCTCATATGTGTTTGAAGATGAAGAAAAAACAGAGCAAAAACAAGATTTCTTCCTTCTGCAAAGGTTATTATAAAAAGCTAGAAAATTGCAGTTCTTGTCCATTATCCCTATTCATCAAGCTAATGTAAGATACTCTGAATTTCCAAAAATTAGCTCTTGGTACTTCTAACTGAAGTGTATGGTACCATACCTGATGGGTTCTTTGCTCATGATCATGTACCAGGCCAGCCGTATCTTCTGCCACACAGACAGGGCTGCTATGGCACGCTGGAGGGTGATCTGGATGGGGCGATCTCCCAGGTGCACCTTACAGCTGGGCACCTGTTGGGCCTGCAGAGAGGAGGAAACAGCTGAAGATCGTGTGCTTCAGTACAGTGTGGAACAAATCTATAACTCTTGTCTATCTAACCACATTCTAAAAGCACATCACCAACATGAACAACACATTACAGCAAAGGTTAAAAAGATGGAGATTGCACCTGTCTGAAGGCTGTCCTGAACTCCCCTCCAGGTGCCATGCCCAGCTGTTCAGTAATGTGTGCTGACATGTGGAGCAGCAGGATCTGCATCAAACCAGTCACTAAACCACTCTGAAACATAGATGTGCAAAGGTTAATGTAGCACTGAAATTACAGTATTATGAGACGTCAAATAAACATGTTTTATTTCAATAGAAGTTTTTCATTTCTTAAATACAAAAGCAACAAGTATGCTGTCATATCTATTTACAAAAATTATAATTTACGGCCATATTCTGATTGCTTACCTGTTTTATGGCTGCCTTCACTTTGCCCATGTTGATATTTTTAGCCTCCTCTAGCAGGGTTTTCTCATCCAGCTGGAGGATGTTGACCCTGCTCTTACACAGCTCCACCAGTACCACATCTGGTTGCACGGTCTCAATGGTCTGGGATAGAGCATAGTGCACAAGGTTACATCTTTCAATGTCCTAAAAGGCTCAAACATAAGTCTGTGGTTGGCAGATGGAAGAAAGCAATCAAGCAAGGCTACTTCACTATCATTAGTATCAAACAGAGCGTCACAAACATGCACTAACGTCTTGATACTTAGTCAAGCTGTCAGTGAAGACTCTACATTTTCATTAACCTACTTAATTGTATAGTGGAAATTGGTTTGTGCCTCACGACTGCCTCAGCAATATATCAACGTGTACCACAGACAGTGTTGTAGCCAACATCTGTCTTCCTGTCATTTAATGGAATTATGCTACTTATGACAGACAAATATTGGCCTGTAAAGATATGGAAATCTAAACTAAGCTTAGTCTACCAGCAAAATTATCCATCAAAATGCAGGAAACAGCATTTCAGAGGGTCAAGATTTCAAAATTTTCCATTGGCAACTGCCATGCCAGAAGTCAACATGGTATTACGTCAAACAAAATTTCAGGCTGGCCAAAACACTACCACAGACCCCCATGCAAAATGCATGCATTAGTTATACTTATACATCTGAAAATTGCTTCTTTTGTATGCTGCAAGTCATTATCTTCACAATACAGAATACACATCAATGTAAATATGTCATAAGCATACATGTAGCATGTGGTATTCATAAACTTTACCATACCTTAATGACATCTTGTTGGCTTTCCTCGCTGAAGTGTGCAGTTCCTATAACATAGACCTTCCCCCCGTCTTCTGTGTCTAGTGTTGTGACTGTCTCAGGAAGGCTTGTGACAGGCTTCCTCTGTCTCAGGACAGGAGCCTCCTCTAGATCTTCTTCATTGTCTAATGGGAGGGGAACTGGTTACATTGCAAGTCATCAAACATTAAATGTAACCATTTGATAAATGTGTGTGTACTGAGCTATAGGTATACTGTTAAATCTTTCATACCTCCAAAAATTCACACATGATGATGCAGAGCACATGTAGTGTGAATAACCACCAGACACTAAATATGATACTTTTTTTATAGGACCAATGTGTTTTTTAAAAAAGACCTTTAGTGATCACCCAATAAATTGTGATATATGGGTCTGACTGATGTGTATCACAATTTCAAAAAAAACTGATACAATTTCCAGACGAGTAGGCCACTTTTCTTTTGATAACAGTTATTTACGCTGGAAAATGAGAAAAAAAATCTTCCTATATACCTTTGGGAGAGATCAATTCGCTTGAAAAATAAGGCTACCAAATTCTGTACTATGCATACTACATGTTTTGTTAACCTTCTCCCTGCTGCCTAACCTCACAACTACATGTAGTCGTACATGTCATAGGGTGGCAAAATGCTATCTTAGCAGGGAGAAGGTTAAAGCCTACAGTGTAGATCTAATACATGTATTCACCTTCTACATCTGTGTCGTAATCTCCATCTCCTTCATCATCCAGGTCCAGATCATCATCCTCCTCCTCCTCATTACTGCCCAGCTCAGCTGAGTTGTCCCTCCCCTGCCCCGGGTCCCCCCCTCCCCACCTGTCCTTGGTGGAGTACTTCCTCCTGCTGACGTGGTCGATCACTTCATCACCTGATGAGGAGTACTCATCTGATCCGGAGAAACCTACACATCATACCAACAAGGAGTTCAGTCTTAGAACACTTCACAATGAAGACAGGAAGAGAAAAATGCATTTGGATGCATATTGCCTTTGGTTCGCTGTGCACAAAATTAATGTTTTTAGACAGTGTTTTAAATGGGTGAATCACAGCTGAACAGCAAGCTAGTTTAATAGCCAATGCTGTCTAAGGTGTATGATGTGCAGCCATGTATCATGTTATACATGTATTTGCAGACTAGTTTACTAGGACTATTTTTGTCATCTTTGCCAGCATACTAGTAAGTAATATACCAGTAAGCAAAAAATTAAATTTGTAGACATTTTTCTTTACACATCACAATTGGGTATCATTTTTTTTACAACAAACAAAAAGAAACTAAGAAGATAGTTGGTGAGCACAAATGTGCACACAAATGTGACATTGACAGCTTATACAAACTTGTTATAATTGGAAATACATGTGCTGGGAAAAAAGGCTGTTTTACTAGTGTTTGAATTACACTGTAAAAACACAAACACAAACATGAAGCACTGCACAAACACAAACATGAAAAGTCTTTGTCTATGCTTCCACGGAATTGTTAGCTTACTAGTACTGTAGCCTAGTATTAAAGGCAACAGCAGAACAGATGCCCCTGGCTACACTGTCTAAGCCAAACTACAACACAAATCAAGCACACAACAAAACAATGCGATAGAACAAAATATTCTACATGTACTTAATCTACATTGTATGTATAGGATACAGAATATCCACAGCAATCTCCAATTTGCATGCTCATGCTGAAACTGTTGGTTAAAATCAGATACTCAGTAGTTTCACACCATGTTTGGGTGTGAACTGTTATTATGGTTTAGTAGAATCATGCTGATGCAGAACTCTACCAATTACCTTAATATGATTTTACAGGTAAAAGAACAATAGCACATATATTTCATGCCCTGCATGCAGGTATACATTCATGGTTGTACCACCACAAAAAAGGATTTTGATTGTAGAAATGTTTTCTGTGTGTGTCTGTATATTAGTGTTTGAGAAGGTACAAGTACTATCACCTAGATTTGAGTTCTAGCCATGCAAACTGAATCACTCACAGTGAATACTTCATACATGGTTTTCAGTCACAGGCAAAAACATCATATTTGTCATTTTGTGAGAACTGTGCTGATGCAAATATCTTTTTTGTGGAATCTGATAGATAAATTTTTTTTGTACAAATGATGCCGTGTGTCTACAAGTACAAATGACTACTTCTAATATTTTTGTAGTAATTTGAGGGTCCTGAAAATTGCACGTTTATTTACAAATGTTCCTTCACAACTCCAGTTTTTGAAGTTGCATCATGAAATGTGTCTGTATGGCATCAAAATAACATGTCTAATACTCAGTAAGTCTTGATTTTCTTTATTTACATGTAGTAGCAATGTACATTTGAACTGTTGCAATATCTTTATTATTGAGTCATATTGCTGTTGAAAATAGATGTTGAACTCTTCAAACTTGATGCATATCTTTTTTATATGACATGCATCATTGCTGTGTTTCTGAAAAAAAATTGCCTATAGTGGCTAGAATTTTGTAACCATGTACATTTTGTATTTTGCTACTAAGAGTAAAGTAAAACATTAGCCACAGAATCCAAGTCCAAGTGCAGAGGACAGCTGCTTGTAGGTATAGAGAAGCTGCAGAGAGGAGGAGAAGGAGAATGAAATGGTTTGCATACATATCCTGGCATATTTGGCTGCTCGAAATGGGTCTAACTCTTCCACATTGAAGTCATCTGTGAGGAAGGACCAAACCAGAACACAGTGTTCAGTACAGGTGATACTGTGCAAACAGGTGGCTACAGTTCTCCTGCACCTGCAGCAGGTGAATACACTTCTCCTGCACCTGCCACCTTCACCAGCACAGAAGTTAGGATAAACACATGTACACCAGGTGCAACAACTAATGTGTATAACTACAAGTAAACTGAAGAAACAGTAAGGAAATGTACAGCTGAAAAACATTGACAGTTTCACAAAGAACAACACTTCCAGATGGGACTTTCCATAGGCATTAGGCAAGTCTATGATATAAGTCATGCCTTCCACACTGGTGTTTCAAGGCATTGGATACCCAACAGTGTTTAAAAGAAAGTAAAGCACTGGTATTCCAGTGCTGAACAGCTTTGTTTCTGTACGAAGTACTGAAGCTTCCACAAGACTGAAATTCCAGTGCCGAATCTTGCAATTGTCTCAGCAAAGATGATTGAACCTCCTTGGTCTCAGAACTTTTTTTCCAGTGCTTAACTTACTCCAGGTCTTAGTTGAATCAAGGACATGTCCTTGGTTGAATTTAAAGCTCCTTGGTTACAAAGCTGATCACACACTCTTCTCAACATTCTGCTTGCATGTTGTATTTCTAATTGCGTGCAGTGGGCGCGTGGGCAAGGCCGATGGGCATTCTGATCAGCTTTGGTTATCCAGTTTTGAAACAGCCGTCAGCACTGGAACCGAGTACTGGATTACAAAAGTCATGCCTTCCACATTAGATTTACCAGTGCTCGAGACCCCAGTGTTAAAAAATATCATCTATATTCTCACCTACTACTAAATTAAATAAAGGCTTACTACTACTACTTCCACAATCATTGATAATGGTCTTTTCATTAAGATTTATGTACACATAAGTCTAAACTAGAAGTTGGAACATAGAAATGGTTCGTTCAGAAATATCAATTCAAATTAGATGCAGATGAATTGTCTGCAAATGTGAATGAAAATTAACATACACATGATAAATTGTCTACTACTAGTGGTATAGTAGATAACAAAAGTGGTTCACAAAGCTAATACACAGCAATGTCATCTACATAGAAGGATGTGTATAGAAGATTCCATTGTTTCATCTTATGCTGAATGCTGTCTAAAATACTGGTAGGATCATATTCATAAAGCACAAAATTATTTGTCGACACTCCCATATGGTTACCTGACATATGACCAGATACGCAACATGTTCAGCAGTTGTTCTAGAGAATCACAACTCTCATGAATATAACATCACTTTTTTTACTGTCTATAGGATGTATATAGGTGTAATAAGATGTAACTGGAGCCGAACTACGCGAGTTTTACCTTCGTCTTGGTGCAGATGATTTTCTTCTCTACCACCTTCGGCCATTTTGTCGGCGTCCTTCGAACCGGAAGTGCTAGACCGCCCCCTGACCTCCTTTGAAAACCGGAAGTTTATTTGCACGTCTGGGGAAAAGTCGCAAAATAAGTGTTTGTGCCTTTCACAGGGAAAACACTGACTTTCTTGGTATGGGATGCAGTTTTTGAAGGTCTGTATGTTTTCACCTATTATATCTGCAGGTTAGGATTGTATTTTAGTGCTTCTTTGAGTCGTGTAAACTTTTGTCGTCTGCATCTTTACTACGCCATTCACTCAGTAACAAAACAGTAGACGTGGCAAATTCCGGTGCTGTGCAACAAGTTCACTGCCATATGGACTTTTGTTACGTTAAGAAAATAGAAGTAATTCGGGGGAAAGGGCAAAATTCAGCAGGTAAAGATTGTCTGCAACGACTGAAGCCTCTGTAATGTGACCCCGCCCCTTTTAATTGCTAAACTTTAAGCAAACCTATTAAAACGTTACATTATATTTCAAGACACCCCCCCCCCAACACCATTAAACATAGTCCTAGTTTGGAAAGTATCATTTAAGTAACCTTAATCGCTGTACCTTTCCACCTTAAAAATAAAGGAATTTGACATTAATTGGCAAATTTTAATAATATGGTACAGTGGTACATATGGTGTTCAATTTAGGGCTCCCTTCGTTAATATTGCTAAAACTTTACACATTTTTTTGTTATTTTCAGCTGATGATTTAGGTTCAATACAATTGACGTGATGGGAAACGTGACAACATCAGACCTACCTGCAGACAAACAGCAAGGGGTCAGGACAATACTGGACTTGAGCAGGAAGCTAAACTATCATCAATATGTGAAGGTTTGAAAAGACATGCTTCTTCTACTTTTACTCTAACGTTACTTTTTAAGTCATGCATCTGTCAGTACCAGTGTAACACAAGAGATAGGAGTAACTCAAAGGTTGACTCTGACCCCCGGGAATTGAACCCGCACCGCTTGTGCGGTGTGTCAGCTCACAACCAGCACACCAACCGATTCGGCCAAAAGATCCAGGATCCATTGGGCGGGTATTTAGTGTCGCCTATATACTCGCTGTAAAACCAGAACTTTCAATGAATATTTTTTTTATTATAATAAAAGTGTTAAACTTTGTTTTGATCTGAATGGATCCTTCTTGCTGTATACAATTCAGAAAAAATGGAACAATATTGACAGACTTGACGTAGCAGAAAGTGTCAAACATTTATACCATCAGCCAATTTTAGTCAATTTCAGCATTCTCAGCATAGCACGAATACATAAGGAGAGCCCAGTTTAACACAAATTTGCCCATTGCTGAGTCGAATGCTGACTATATTGTGTACTTTGCTATCCTTGGTAACATTAGCCTTTAGGAATGCAGTTTGTCAAGTAAACAATCTACTTTCCAATGCATTTCACAGGCACATGTTATGTGGTGAGCATGTTAACCCTATGTACTGACTGGCACTGGTCATAGGTCAGCCTGAACAAACTCATCTAACCATGGTACATGTGTATAAAATCTGTACAATGATTTATTTAAGGGTTAATGACCTGCTCTAAGATGTGTATGGTGTCATAAGGCCTACTGATTGATTGATCAGTTTAAGACTAAGAGGTGGTCATAAGAAATGACCAGGCCTTATGACAACGTATACACCGAGGAATAGGCAGGCCATTAACGTTACATAGCCTTAATCCAAACTTAGCAAACAAAGAAAGAAAAAGATAATCCCTACACCTAAACTTTTTCAGGAGTGCAACAGGAAACACAACTTTTTTTTCCTTAGACGTTGGTCTATGTCTTCTGGCTATATCAGTATATGGTACATTTACTTTTTCTTTTTCACAAATGCTAGTTTTCTGTAGCCTGGGTACCATCCGGATTTTTTCGAGCGTTGTGTAGCAAAAATCTGGATGGTACCCAGGCTAAGTGTTCTGACCAGCCTCTCTGCCCACAGCATGTGAATAATGAAGATCTGAACTCAGGCAGTTTGACAGCTCTCCCATGGACACTTCTCAGCTCTGTGTTGCTCCACGAGGCTCTGGATGCTTCCTTTAACTCTATCCCAGAGATACCCAAGGACCTCCCCCTCCACCTGCCCCATCTAACCTACATCAACCTACAGTACAACTGTCTCATAACTCTTCCTGACAGGTCAGTACAATCTCCAAACAAGTATGTCTATCTGTCATTCCATGGAATTTTGCCACTCATGACAGACAAAATTTTGCCCTAGTCTATTTTCCTCACAATGCAGAAAATAGCATTTTCAGAGGGTCAAGACCTAAAAATTTTCTTGGGACGCCCTTACTAGTAGGATTGTTGTGAATGTATTACCATGTACCAACATTGTCTTTATGATGAGAATTTTTTCTCTTGCTGCATGTTTTGCCTTATTTTCATCTGCTATGGTGTAAGACTATTCTGATAAAAACACCATTACACCATAACTTAAGTACAATGTAGTTGTATTATAACACCACCTACATTTTGTATACCCTCAGTTTTGTTTTGTTTTTCCTTTTTGTTTGTAGTATTTCCCTGTTCTTCCACCTGAGAACCCTGTTGCTGAGTCATAACCAGCTCCAGACCTTACCTGCATCCCTCATCCATTTGTCCAAGCTGCAGAAACTGGACCTCTCCAATAACTGTCTCACAGAACTACCAGAGGACATCGGAAGCCTACCGGCCTTACAGAGACTCAATGTTTCTAACAACAAGTTACAAAACCTTCCTTTGTCATTAGGAAGATCGCAAACTCTACAACTTCTGCTTGCTGTGAGCAATAAATGTTGCATGCCACCACAGCAAGTGTGCAATCAGGGTTCAGATGCAACTCTGGACTATCTGAGAACTCAGGTGCCGAACGGAGTGCCTTCTTCTGAACCCACGACTCCAAGATTTAACATCTTTAAAAGGAAGAGGGGACATGTGTTGCACGCGTCGGTTCAGAATCCACATTCTGCTCGGAGCTTGTACGTGGAGGAGCAGACGCACACGACGAACACCACCAGCAGGAACCGTACCCCTCTCAGACCCCCTCCCCACGGCACCAAGCTTCACGCTGACACACTCATGGACAGGGTGCTGGGTACGTCAGCGGCCTCTTTGTGTAACATCCTGAAGAAAACATAGCTTTCTGTTGCTTCCCGTTCTAATGTTACATTTGCAAGGGGTTGAACCCTACAATTCAGTCACATTCTGGGAAAAACTGAGAATGCAAGAGAGATAATGCAGTAAACCATGACAGTTTGTTGACCTACAGCCAGTGGTTGGATCTCTATTTGATGTGAAATATTTTCCACAGTTTGTGTACATTTCATTCCTAATGGTACATGTACTTCTTTTGAAGGGTGTAGGAGCAAAAGATGGGGATGGGAAAACAGGACTTCAGAAAGACAAAGCTATATATCTCTTGCAATATTGTGTATAATGCAACACATATAGAAATAGGAATATGCCTAGCAAAACATTGAAATACTGTAGCTATATTTGACCCTAGTACATGTACTTCTCATTGTTGTACGTATTTACACCAATCTTTTCATAATCAGCTTATTAACAAAACAAAGGTAGGACTTCTTTTTAACCATATTTGCACCATTTAGGACTTCTGTATGGTGCTGCCATAGGAGACGCCATAGGTATCGCTACAGAGCTGATGACGCCTGATGAGTGCAGATTCCATTACAATGCTGAAACCCTGTCCTACTCAGACATCATCAGGGACAAGCACAGGGTGAGATGGAGACCTGGAGACTGGACAACTGACTTTGACCAGACTGTAAGTCAGAGTGGCAACATTAAGCCCCTGTCACACATAATTAAATGACAGTGCTTTTTTTTTTACTTTTTTTCATGGCATCCAGAACACTGAACTCCACCCAACCATGGTTAGGAGTAGGTCAAGACCATAGCCTTCCTCAGGGCAATTCTGACTGGTTCACATTGCACTGCAGCACAGTTTTTTTTCTCTTGTTCCCCCAGATCCTGCTGCTGGAGTCCCTGCTGAAGTGGGGAGGGGTGGTGGATGAGTTAGACTTTGCCCAGCAGCTGGAGACATACTGCAGGGAGGGGTTTCCTGGGCTGGGCGACACGGAGGAACCACTGGTGGGGAACACCATCCAGAGGGTCCTGTCTGACCCCAGGTACCTGCAGGACCCACATGGAGCCGCTAGGAGGCTCTGTCACAAAGTGGAGGTACAGTAATAATGTAAATTTATTGATATTCGCAGCACTGAAGTTTCGTGGCACATTGTTTGTGGTATCTTTGAGTTCACAGTGAGAAGCCATTGCAAAAACAGCAGATTTCAAAATTAAACATTTATAAAAATTTCTACAATTTACAGATTGAGTGTGTCAAGATAAAACTTTAAAATAAAGCTTTTGACAGGACAAGTAAAAAGGCAACGTTTAATAATTTAAAAGCATTTCATAATAATTGCTTTAATTGTGTTGAAAACTCATACCTGTAATTTAGTAATTCACTCTAACATTTGATTCATTGAATTTGGAAAATCATGTTCCAAATATGAGAGCAGAGTCTTATTAATAGTGGTCATTTGTTGTACTTCAATGCAGGACCAGGATGATGTGTTGTTTGAGTACTGTGACAACAGCTGCCTGACCAGGACAGTAGTACTGGGGGTGCCACAGTTCCACGACTTGAAGGAGGTGTCAGCCAATGCCATCAGAATATGTAGAGCGACCCACCATGACCCCCGTTGCTTAGCAACTGCTGTTGTTGTCACAGCAACCATTGCACTCATGCTGCAGGTGAGAATAACTGCCATACAAGTTAAGGGCATCCAATAAGGGTGACAAAACTGGATTTTGAAAGTCAATTTTCTGGTCATTCTTTTAATGTAGAAAGTTGAATCAGTACTATCTCATAGCATACTGATATGTGAAGCAACATTGCAATGTCAGTGATTGAAAACAGTTGCTTGCTTCAAATGATTCTAGCTATTTATTGGTGGTAACAAAAATGAACATCAAGGAACTCGTAGCTTGTTTTGGGGCTATTTCGGATGCTTGAAATATGAAATGATGAAGAAAATATACTTAGAAATGATGATGCAGATGTTGATATCAGATTTCCTCATCCAGAATATTTTTTTTGTAAATTACTTTGACAGTGATTGTTTTGATGACATAGATTGATGAACAAAATTTAGTTTACAGAACATGTATGCTGAAGATGATGCACAAACTTTACTGGATATCTTATGTCCTCTTAACTTCTCCTTAAGGGAAATCATGACATCACCAAGGATGAATCCATGGAGGAGCTGCTTCAGGTTGCCATGGAGACAGGACGTAAACATCTGTCCAGACCCGCCCACCTGAAGGCCTTTGAACACTACTGTGGGCTTAGGGACTATCAGAGGTAAACAGTGCTCTTCCCTACATAGGCACCCTTCATCAGTACTTTAGTACACAGTTATCTTCGTAATTATTAACATCAGTAAGATACTAACCACATTCCCTTAAATGTACATGTACCAACATACACAATATCAACTAGACAGCAAATTGTATCTCATACATTGATTTCATGGCTGATTGAGCACTGACACAGTAGCTGAAGTTTTGTTGTCCATACATGCATTTGCCAATGAACCACGTACATGTACCTGAACAATATTGCACACCCTACAGCACAGTTGATCCTGTACATCCTGAACATAACACAACACAGCACACATGCTTGCAGATCAGTAAGTTGTACAATACTACCGATAGTAACTGTTACAGTACCTTAAACATGAAGTATATAGTGTATTTTCTTTCAACTATAAGTTCTTTTTAGTTTAGTACTTTGTAGCTTGTAGTCTGATTTCATTTTGTATCTTCATGAGATAGCGTAAGAAACATGTTTCCATATGTAATGTATTGTAGACATGAACTGATTCTTCTGTTTCCTTCCCAACCAAACCCTGTAGTATTGAGGTGTGGGCCCCTCACCAGAACCAGATGACATTCTGTTTTAAGACTCTGGCAGCTGGGCTGGTGGCCCTCAGGAGCAAACAGGACTTCAGGTCAGTGTCAGGACACTGCTGGCTCTTTGTTGTTTTAAGAGTCAGAGTTTATTGCACAACAATTGTATCAGGTACAATGTATGGCAAGTAATAAGATTTCCAGCTGGTATGTGTCTATCAAAATTCTATGTGTGATGGATACTACATTTGTACATGTATGTCTGGCAGAATGTTGAATAGAACTACTGAGTACTGTCTAAGAGCTAGTACACCTATTCTATGCCACAGTTAACAGCATCATTTCTGGGATTTCTGTTGGATTGTAGAACTGTCACTTCCAGCTGTCTCTAGCTGTCATATTTAACTAGAATTTTTGCTGCTCATCGAGAGACAAGAACTTTGCCCAACCCATCATCTTTGACAGACAAAAATTGATGTTTTAAGATATGGAAAGAGACATCATCTAACTTTAGACTACCAGCAAAATTTGCATCAAATAGTATTTCAGAGGGTCTAGATTTCAACATTTTCCAGAGGAGCATGCTGGCACTACATGATGTTGCGTCAAAGAAAATTGAAATGACGGGACAAAATGTCAGGCTGGCTATAACAATGATCGAAACATTTATCATGCATGATTGTCACAGTTGACATTCCTTCCTTTGCAGGTCTGCAATTACGGAGCTTGTGATGCTGGGAGGAGACAGTAACACCCATGCCTCAGTGACAGGTGCACTGCTGGGGGCCTATTGGGGTTACAGAGCCCTGCCCTCTGATTGGCTGAATGACCTTCCTGAGCCCCAGGCATCCTTACTCAACATGAAAGCCAACCTCCTATTGGATATGATGGGAATCCCTTGAGGAAGTACTGGGTATTTTAATCTCGCAAAGAAGACAAGAATTTGTATTTCCTTTGAGCAATTTTTTAGTAAATTCTATGGCTGGGTGGTGCCTTGAGGAATTGTGGGTCATGTTAGGTGTGTGCCAAAGAACCATGGGATATTATGGGTCATTTGTGATTATTTTTAGAACCAGTCTGTCTAGCATCTTCCAGGCTTCAGAAGCAATTGGAAAGAGTAGAAATGCCAGGGCAAGCATCAAACTGTACTCCTTTAGCATACCAACTCTGGTATGTTGTCTGTCTATTTGGACAATTTCTACTCTTTCAAGCCACCTCAGTACTCTGGTAGGGACTAAGGTCTGTCACTATTTTGAATGCAAAGGGTTGGGTGGATGGGTGATTGCCAAACTGTGCCATGTTGTTTTTCCTGCAATCAGCATATGTTAGTGCAGACAATGTCAGCTTCTTCTCAGCCAGTTGTTAAATATTCGAAGTTTAAGATGCTGTCAAATGTTTTGACAGGCGTTACATTGCTTGGATGTTATGAATTTGTGTAGGAGTATCTTTAGGTTGCTATATTAATAAGAGGTGCAAGAATTTGATCCCATCAGTATTATAGGTATTTAGATATTGTGAAAACAAATTATATCCATGATATTTTTATAATTATGGCATAATTGGGTCATACATAGCAAACCTAGTGTTCTTATTTGTATCCTTGAGTACAAATATCTTGTTACATTCTGTGTAGAACTTTATTACGTAAATATCAGGTTGGTGCAATGCCACATATATGTTGTTCAGATGTCAACAGATGGAAATGTCTAGTGTTGCTGGTTTCTCTCTAATCTCTGCAGGTCTATAATAACATGATATATTTGGAATGGAACCACAACAGTGAATCAGGCCTTTAATAGTCTAAAGTAAAATACATTGTTAGCTTCCACTGTTCCTAGTCCAAGATTTTATTGACCTATACGTGAAATCTACCTATGAGAGAAAGTACAATATGGGTGCTGATAACAGAATCAGGTTTACTTCTCTTCATTGCAGTTGTGAGTTGTGTGTTTATTTTCTCATACTACAAGATACTGTTTTCTTGGTATACTACAGAGCTCATTCTACATGTACATGTTATGTCACAAATATGCATCAAAAGGTCATGCGCTTGCAGTTACATTCAGTGATATGTATGATAAAACTTGTTATCAGATTATGACCAAGCTGCAATTTCATCATAACCACAGATCTCGGTATGTCAGTTGGAGCAAGGCTAGATGGAATGATTGAATTAGTCACAATTCTGGATCTTCTTCTCTGTTCCGCACCATCATTCATGTTGCAGCTTGCTGCCCTTGAGTCTTTTCTTCTGATACAATGAGTTACCGAGTAGGTTTTCACACCATATTTTCGTCACCAACTTGTGAGAACAGCCTGCATGTGAGTGGAAATAGAAATGTTGATTACCGGTATCATCCAAGCAGAAAATGTGTCCACTTTTATTTTGAATACCCTTTCATTACTGCCATTATCTTGGGCTACCTCAGGGGCGAGTCTATCAGTAAGTATGAAATTTGAATGACATGTCTGAGTCACTTATAGATAGATGATTGGTGCACGTGGAAGCAATGACATACATGTATATATCTCTATATGATGCATGACATTTCTTCGATGGGGACTGGGTGGCAGAATTCTTTAACTACATGTATAAAATTATTCAACTTTGTGAATGTATAGAGAGCAACTTGAATAAGAATTGTTATAAATGTACCAGGTTTTATTGGAAAATTATAGTGAAATGTACTTACTGGAAAGTAATCTTGGTGCCTATTTTGTTGGTATCAACTCCCTCTGGTATCAAGTGCTCGGCGAACCTGTAATTTCAGCATCAAACATTATTGTGAATATTGCCGTAAGTTTCTAGCTGTTATGATTACCACCATATCATATATCAGAGGGAAGGTTTTTTGTCCATTTGACAATGCATTGCAATGAAATTATCAGGTGGGGTGTGCAGAAAATCAAAATGTAGGAGTTGGAAGGTTTCTGAATCAACCTTTGTTTAGTATAACTTAAGGGTGTACTAACCCCAGTGTCTGTAATGTTGTATGTTCTTCCATTCCTGCAGCCAAAGCTTGGAACCCTGCAGTTGACATGGAGATGTTAAGCAGATGCAGGCATTCTAACATTGGCAGCCTGGTCAGCATACTGGTGATGGACATGGCAGCAGTGTCATCCAGGTTTACAGTCTGTACTGAGCTGAGTTTCATTTCCTTTAGTGCAGGCATTATGCCGATAGTCTGTGCAAACCCTTTGATGCCCACTTCCATTACAGGATTGTCCTTCAGGTTCAAAACCTCCATGCAGGGGGCATGGTGCAGGGTGGTGCTAAGGGCTTCCATACCTTCATCTCTTACATTGTTGTTTGATAGATCCAGGTGTTTCAGACAGGATAGATGATGCATCACCCCTGCAAGAGATTTCAAGCAAACATCCCCTATCTTGTTATGTTGCAGGTATAGGTTCTGTAGTCTGACAGGCTGCTGGATAGCAGCAAAGGGTTCCATCCCTTCATTTCCAATGTTGTTGTAACGTAGATCCAATTCCTCTAGATGGGATAAGTGATGAAGCACATGCATAAGGGATTTCAGACAAACATCCCCTATCTTATTGCAAGACAGCCTGAGTACTTTCAGGCTCACAATAGGCTGGTGGATGGCACCAAAGGGCTGTGTTCCAGTAGCTCCTAAGTTGTTTTTTGATAAATACAAGTTTTCCAGACAGGACAGACGATGCAGCACAGCAACCAAGAATTGTAGGGAAACATCTCCAAGCCCAACTCCCCAGAGTCTCAAATCAGTCAAATTTAAGTTAGACCCTAACCCTGTCAATAGTGTAATCTCATCTTCACAAATGCCTGGATTGTCTGACAGATTAAGTTTCTCCAACATGGCTAGTTTGGGCAGGATATCTCTCAGTGTCTGCAGTGATGAACGAGTAAGACCTGTTCTTTCCAGAATTAATGATCGTATACCAGGGACTTTTTGCTAAAAAAAGTGACCAGTTTGTCAAACTTATCCCCTATGTGACAGTACTGCAAAGACTTATTGTTAAATGACAAGTCCAAGCAGAGGTCAGGCAGGTAGTTTTCCAGCATGCCAGAAAGATATTCCACTGCCTCTCCTTTACTATCCTCTGTCACCCTGAGTCTCAATAATCTGCCCTTGGGTACTACTGCAGCATGCTGTAGGTAGTACATAAGAGCAGCCGCTTCTCTAGAGGGGGCCTTGATATGACAGTCAAGAGATGAGAGCAGGTTGCTCACTATTGGAAAATACCTACAATCCTGGCTTTCATACAAGTTCATCATACAGAGTTCTTTCACAGAATCTGATTTAGTCTGGTTATCCTGAGGTACATATGTTTTTGTGTAGTTGAATGTAGCTACAGAAGCAGCTACATGAGCTTCATATAGTTTGTAAATTTTTGTTAGCATTTCTTTGGTAGCCTTACCCCCACAGCCACAAATGAAGTGAACCAGGGTGCTCTGCTGCAGAACTCTCCACACTGTGTCCAATGGTACCAACTCATGCAGATCCCCAGAGGAAGTATTGACTGTTTCCGCAACATATCGACCTGCAAGAAACTCCTGCATGGTCTTGTGAGGAAAGTTTAACTGTTTTCTTGGATGTAGTCTGGATGCAGACACCTCTTTGGAAACAATGCCAAGTTTCAACAGAATGTCAGTATCTTGAACAGCAGCAGCTTTCCCCAGGTCTACCAAGCTTTCACCTCTCAACAATGATTCTAAAGCAAGTTTACCAAGGTTAAGTAATATGGGAGATAATTCACAAGGTATCTTATCATCAGACATGGAAAGACCCTCCCTGACACAGTGCTTCCTGATGACACATGTCAGCAGCTCCTGATATAAGCCTGACATTGTCCCTGGGAAAACTCTGTCTGGATCATCTTCCCACAGAACACAAATCAGCATGATGAATATGGGAGTCTGGATCAAGTTTCTAGCTACAACATTTGCTTGTAGTGCTTTGATGAGTGGAGCTGCTAAATCTGACTTGCCTATAGTTTGAAAGTATGTTGCTGTAAATCCCTCTACGTCAGCTGACGAAAAGCCTGCAACTTTCACTTTACAGCCAACTACCATGTATTCCTCAATACCTGACAGAGGTCTAGATGTTACGATGACTGTGCTGTTGGGATACCATTTCTTGGCAAGAAGTTCAGGAACAACTTGTCGAGGCCCTTTAGCATTTGGAACTAGTTCATCATAGCCATCTAAGAGGAATACAAGTTTGGACTCATTGTCTTGGAGACAAGTCTCTATAGCAGATATGCTGATCCCCTTGGCTGACTTTGTGACACACTGGTCCCACACAATCTCAGCAATGGATTCTCCTGGCTGGACCTCTCTAAGTCGAACCAGCAAGACTATCTTCTTCATATCTGCTAGCCTACCTTTCTTGCATGACCAATCAAGGGCTGTTTTAGAGAGAAGAGTTGACTTGCCACTCCCTGCATGTCCCTCAACCAAAACATTGAATCTTCTATCCAGATCACTTACAGTCTGATGGTCATAGACATCTTCAAGTGACTTAAGAATTCTCCTGTCTGTTTGGTCATGGAGACTAACCAGTACAAGACTAGTAAAGATCCTGTCAAGGTCAAGGCAAAATCTATCATCCCAGGGCAAAGGCTTCAGAGTGTTCAAGGTGTTGCTGTAGTTGATAGAAAGGGCGCTTCTTAACACATCTCCTGCTTTGTCTGCTTCTGAAACAGTAATAAAAAGTTGATAGATTATAACATCAGATCTCGCATTATATTATACATGTATATTCTTTACTGTAGCATCATGATCATGCATATGGTTATGGTCAAGCTTGCAAAGAAGGATTTGATCATATATCAAATGAATGAAGGAGACCACTGATAACTAACACACCGTAGTCTCAAACTTATGCCTCAGCTCCACCAGAATCAAACACCAGAATGGTTACTGAATGTAGCATATTGCCCACGGCAAAGGCCACATCTGATCTGAGTAAGGACATATCCTTGATCTGAGTCAGCCAGCATTAAGATAGAAGTGATAGAAATATGCAGCTTTCAATCACATAAAATGTAGTTGCAGCAAACCCATTATCATGGTACCAATATCACCAATGGTACCATATCACCAATACCTTCATCCTCAGAGTCTCTGTGTAGTACAGTATGTGTGAGGGGCCAGCCTCTTGGTTAGAACCTGCTTCAGACTCATCTAATCTCCTTCGCTTGTGAAAGGACACACCCTCTTCAATAGAACCTGCAAAAGCATCAGAATGATATCTTGACACTCGTCATGAATTAAAGTACTGTAAGTGTAATTTTATGCTGCAACTGTAGATATTCAACATCTTTAAACATTCATGTTGTTTTCTTGCCATAAAATTAATTAACTGTGTGAAACAGGTGAAGGTTGATGAATTAGTGAATAGATATTTAATTGAACATTTAGGGAAGAGATCTACATTACATTGTGCATGTGTTCTAATGCAGGAATGTCAATTAAATAGCAACTATATCAAGTTTCAAAACCGATCAGTGTGTTTTTTCCTCAACAAAAACACTATGAATTGTAGATCCCAAGGTCCCACATACATTTACCTAGTACGTAGCTCTGAAAATATGTGCCATTGATTGGTTAACGTTGTTTTAAAATATTCATACTAGTCGCTTGCCTTCGATAAAAATCACATAACATCACCCCTTTGCCCCACAACGTGGGTTTATCATTCGCAATTTTTAGTTATAGTTATACTTAAAAGTGACACAAGAAAGCAAAATGAACCCGTCTAATCCTTACCTGGACGCGTCTGGTCCTTCTGCGTACTTGAGGCCCCTGATAGTTCGGATACTGTCTGCTGTAACGTTTTCAGAATCTCGCCATGGGCCAAAAGGATATCTTTCACCTCCTTGTCTTCCTTGTTAAGTTGATCTAGCATATTGAAATATGTCTTCTCTTTTTCAGGATCGATGCTTGATTTGAGTCTTTCGGAAATCGCGTTCATATCCGCCCCAAGAGCTACCAGAATATCTGCCAATTCCTTCCATAGTTTATCAAAGAGGTCCTGAGACAACTCCGTACTTGAAATATGTCCGTAATACGTATTTCTATACACCCGAAGTCTAGCCCTTGCGTTTGCGTAGGGCGCATCTTTACAGAGTTCTTTCAACAAAAGCTCTAACAGTGATATGTCGAACCCCTGTGTAGTATTCGGTATATTACCACTTCGTGGATACAGCATGTTCCTTTGGCCACAATTAAAGTAACGTAAGCTACAGAGATGTCTCTTGTGATTTCTTAGCTGCACTTGAAGACTCGGGGGGTTCATTTTGCGGATTTCATCTTCAAATACTTTTTTCAGCAGTGAGGTCCCTTCGTCGATCAGCAGAGATGCTAACCGAGCGCCCCGAGCTGTACCTGAGGTGTAGACGGGTTCTGGACTCCCACCTGTAGCCATGGTGGTGTGAACGCGCCCCAGCCAAGAAAGGAACACACGGCACTGCTGGACCCCTTCTGCGACTTCTAGCTGGCCGTCACTTTTCTTCCTCCTTCAGTCAAGGCATCGTTACATTCGTCGGTAAAAAGTTGGCCAGAACAAACTTCAAGTCTGCCCAGAAAGCATTGTTACAACTAAATCAACTCAGATCAAAGACTGAAAGTTTTGTTTTGCGTGAAACAAAATGGCGGCATCCAGAACTACAACGCGAAGTTATTTCACGTTACGTGTCTTTTGCTCAAGGGCATTGAGCACACCTGAGGATCAACCATTCGAAGGTGAAGGGAAATAAATTGCTTGTCCTTCTTTAATGCTTAACAGATTGCATAGAAACAAAACTATGTAGACTTTTCTCTCACCTATTAAGGGAAAAACATTAGTGTGTAATTCGTGGAATATGTTATTGCTATTTGACAAATGCGATCCGGTACACTAACAACCCCCTTTTCCTCAGAATGGTCCTTTCCTTCGTGACGTCACTCACTTGTTGTGAAAAATAAACTTGCAGAAATGTAACCGAAAAAGCTCCATATTCAGCCGCTCGTAACATCCGTTCTAGGAATATTTGTCTCAAAATGAACAGAGGCAGGACTAAAACGGTTATTTTCCGATAGATTTGTGATATTTAGATAGTCGGGGGGAGCCCGGTCAAGAACAAGAGCAGCAAAGACAGGGAGTAAAACCCCCATAAGAGCCCATCGCGTTTCCCAAGTCACCAAATCTGGGAATGAGGCGAAGGTAATTAGAAACTTTTATAATTCCTTACTGGTAAATGGCGGGAATTTCATACTTGCGGCATTTGGAAGACAAGTGAACCACCCTCCTGAGCAGTCCTGAGTTTACGACCAAATATGGGCAACAAACTCGAAACTAAACAGCCGCTTTACTTTTCATGTAAAAAAACTGAAGTTACGAAGGATTTTGGGACGAACGGGACTATTGTGGGCAATTATGTTCCCCCAGATAAGCTACAGAGTTGTAAGAACTGCCTCTACAGAGAAAAGGAGCCGATTTATGAGGTTAGGTCGGTGAAAATGCTAGGCAACCGCGTAATATTATCACGAACAGGGGAGGGGGGCATTGTGAAGGGATGGCTTTCAGCACCAAGGACAGGGATAGCTTCAGTTTGAACCTGGTCTTTTCTTCATGACAACAAACTGAACATTAACACACCGACTGCAATATACGAAGGAAGTCAATTTTTTTTAATTTTTCAGTGTCAATCTCAATATCATATGAATGGAGACAGAGTGACTGGGATACGAAATGTTACATACAGAAGCTTGCTGATCAAATATACAAGGGTTTACAAAACCAAGCAGATGTTGGGAGGTTGTTGTGTATACTGTAGAAATCCTAATGTCGTTGGGTGGCGCTATTTTGGACCCTGTGTAGGTATTGATTCAGACGCAATCTTCATTTGCCTGTTGCGCACACCTTTTTTTTTTGTACATTTTCTGTAGCCAAATCTTCTCTGGAATGTATTTTGATCCCAATTTAAGTCTTCCAAAGTCAAAGATGATATGAATTATACAATTTATTGTTCTACTCAGTCATTTGTTCAATCCTGACAACTTACATTTCATATTATATTAAATTATATTGTATTACATTATATTATATTAAGCAGTAGATTGATAGTGTGATGTTCGTTTGCTAGACAAATTAGGCCATGTTGATTTGATTATATGGATGACATCCGCGCGCGCATGAATTTTCGGCCGTTTCCAAAAAAAAAGTTTCCAACCACACTGTAAATTGTACAAAACAGTTGCAAAATGAGCAAATATATACCGAAAGTTGAAAAAAAATATTTGAAAACGATTCCAACGTCGTAGAATGCCAAAATCAAACAAAAAGCTAAAATGCAAAGAAATGAATTTAAAGAGTAGATTATTCGCCATACCATACTGTGTGTCATTTGTTCGACCTTCATAACAACGTAGATTTCATGAAAGCAACTTTTTTTTTTTGCAAAACATTTTTTTATTCGCGCGCTCGCATCAGTTTTGGGGTTCCCAGAGGATGTCATCCATATAATCAAATCAACATGGCCTTACTAGTATGGCTGTAGAAACCCACATCCACCTTGAAATCCATTGGATATTTTTTTACAATAAAACTATTTTGATATGGACATAAGTCCTCTACCATACTGTGTTCTTGGAAATCGATCATGATAAATTGGTTTGATGATATCAGAAAAATGTTTTAAAAAATCAAGAAGCACACGAATCCTTGTAATTTAATAAGGACGGCTGTATTTTCCACATCGCAACAAAGCATACATTCATCAAATATCACAATGTGCTGCTGTCTGTAGCAACAAATCAAGCATCTACAATAGGGCTCAATGCTTTATCTACTATAAATACATCTAAACAAGCCAATGTTAACGGCTTCTAAAACATCATTTGATTTGTATCTACATCCTAGGGCAATATCATATCAACTGGTTATAACATTGCAATGGTGGGTAGATGTCAAAGCTTTAAAATCTGTCAAGGCCTGTACAATATATAATGTGGCTAGTTCATTACAATTTACATATTACCGTACATGAGAAGCAGTTGTAGGAATAACAATCTGTATCTGTGAGTAGTAAGGTGATGAAAATACTTCAGCGTTTGATGATTACCTACCTGTGTACATCAACATCTCTACAATAGCACTTTGTTACAACTTTGATGGTCTCTGTTAACAAGATGCAGAGGGTACAAGTATCATAACTGTCGAAATGGGACTTTGTCAATTCTTGAACATATGAAAGCTAAAAAAACAATTCTCAGTAACTCTTAGTGGTCACTGGCTCTTCGCAAGTCCTTGCTAAAACAACATCCTACATGAACTTCTGTACAAGCCCCCTTCCCATTAATTTTAGACCCCACAGTTGAGAATATGTCATTTTGTGTCAGTGGTGATTCATGAAGATGTGATTGGCTATGACCAATCAGCCAATCAGTTTCAATGGGATGCAACATTCTGATCTAATCATACAATTGAATAGGGATATATGATTGGCCAATCAAATACCAATCAGATTTGACAAGACACATCAGCACTAACAAATGCACTGGCAACACTTGGTACATTATTACATTACAAACACTTAACACAAAATTCAGCTTTGTACAATTTTTCTACAGGATCCTTAATAAAATCCAACATCTTAGACTCATTCTTCTGACTCTAGCCTACTCTTGGGGTGGCACAGATATTTTTCAGTGGCATACGTTTTGTCTAACTAAAAAAAAACCCATTTCATTCTGAGGAATAGTGATCTGGTTTGATACATGGCTGTTCAGTTATCAAATCTTCCAAAACTGTCATCCTTTAGAGTATCACAGTTAACAGTAATTACAACTAAAACTGAAGAGCAAAAATGAGGCAGACATTTTCCCTGTAAGATCCACCGGGAAAACCAATGTGAGTTTCTCATAGCAGCACATCATGTGACTGTAGTTTGGCCAACCACAGCCTGTGCTACAGTACAACTTACCACCACTCGTCTCCATTTTGTAGAACCAAACTTCTGTTCAGCCAACCATACACATAGCCTTACTACAATACTGACAAGACATAATCTTCTTGTTTGTTCTTCAAGTTTTGTTCTGTTTTCCTTTCCATGCAACATTCACAAGCATTTTGTTACTCACAGAATGATTTTCTCTGAACATTGTACAATATATAATAAAGTATACAATAATGGCTTTTCCTTTTTCTGGTTCAAAAGGTTGTGTCACATTGGTTGAGGGAAGAAAGACCTGAAATGATTATTCATCTTTAGTCTTGTGACTGTCTGGAAAAGGGGACTTTTTTGCCCATTTGTTGAAACTGAGAGAAGCTCTGATGGGGCATGTGGACAATGCCTATCAGTTTTCCACTCTGTACAAATATAGTCCTGTGTGTAAACGCTGTAGTCTTCAGAACTTCAGAAAATTCTGTATGCATTGTTACTGTGTGATAGTTTGTTACTGTTAGGACCTAGCATCAGTCGACACCCGATATACGTGTACAATGGATCTGCTGTGATGCCTTTCGAACTTGCAGGAGGTTATCAAAAGGTTCTGACCATCTGGGCTTGTTTGTTACAATTCTCTTCTGCCAATCCAAACTTGCTGGAGTACTCCCTCGCATACCACAATCTTCTATCAATCTCAAAACTCGTGTCCTTCTACTAAATGATCATCTTCTTCCATGCTAAAGGTTCACCATTGGACGACACTGATCACATGATCGTGTTGCCATGGTTACCCGGCCCCCTCCAACGCCATGACGACCCGCTCCAGCACGTCAGGATGGTGGTCTGCGATGCGCTGCAGCAGAGTGTCTGCGTACAGCTGCAGACTGGCATTGTCCTCCTCATGCCTGCGGTACTCCTCCAATAACTGGGGAGGTGAGATAGGGATGTATCAATTGGAGACAACTTCAATGATTAGAGCAATAATATATCAGCAGATTTCAGGTGTGACTAGAAGACCATAAAATTAGATCTTGCTTCATGGACAGTTTTCCTACATGTACCTCTTGTGGCAAACAATTGAAGCAAACAGGTAAGTATCAACACCATTATATCATTTTTCTACCAATACAGGTATCTATAAATAATAGCCATCAGAACATTTTGTATGACTTCTCCTCCTTCCAGTCATGTCCTGTCACCTCCGGACAAAGGCAGCAGTTGCCAGTGTTGTGTCCCACACATAGAAACAATTACAGGGCAGACAATACTCTTCACTTGAGTTAAGTGGGGAAAGTCACTTTTGTCCCAAGTGCACAAGATTGGTAGTATGTCTGGACTCGAACTTTGGTTGCACCACACGACCCCACACAACATTTCTTCTACCAACTTGATAAAATTATTTTGGGTTACATGTACCTCATTATAGTCCAGCTCCTTGAGTTTCTCCATGGAGCGGACCTGGTCCTGTTGTGTGCGCGGCAGCCCCTCCAGCAGAGTCTTGTCCTTCTCCAGACTCAGAGCTACCAGATGGTCGATGTACGCCTTCAGCTTCCGCTGGCCCTCCTGCAAGTCCTCCAGCATTCCCAGCAGCTGGGGGAGAACGGCAGGGTTAGAACATAGTCACCGAGGGGGGGAGGGGGGCCCTGGGTTAGGTACTACATGATGCACATGTAATACTGACTGAAGCTGATTGGGGAGGGGGTAGTGCACAGAATTACTGCATAGAAATGTTCAGTATAATTGAAAGATAAATTGGTCTGTCTTGATATGACAAGTTACCAAACAAATGACACATCCATGCTAGATGTCATGACTAGTTTCTGCATTGCCAGGGTTATACATATATTGTTGTATTGAAGAACAAGATTAGCTATAGACATATCGTTGTGCTATAAACTGCTATTCCACTTACAATGGATTTCTTAAAAACCTGAACAATGGTTCTTGCATTTGTGATATTACAAAGGTACGTGTACTCAACCAAGAGACTTATCTTGATCTTATGTTACAAATTCTAGGTGACAATACAATTTACAGGTAAGAGAGGACAGCAGCACTAGTAAAGAAACATGACAGAAACATACAGGGTTTGACATGAATGATACATTCAGTACAAAACAAAAGGAAGGACCCATGTTTGTCTGATCATGAGATGGGCAGCTTCTGACTGCTATAATATCAAACACATGTAGGCTGCAGGACAGGAGAAGGAGAGGGGAACGACGGGAGGAGGAGTTGTGTACACAGGGAACAGTGGTAAGTGTGAAGCTATCAATGTTGACTTGTTTAGATACTAGTACAAGCAAACTTTGCATTACTTGTACATGTGTATTATCTGTTCTTGTCTTACCCTATTTGCCTGACATTCATTTCATCTTGGTGTTGTCACTTGGCAATTGTCCATGTTTTTTCTTAGGACTCATGTATAATGTATTTTAGACAAAGACTTGACAGGATAACTTAAGCTTAAATCCTACTATTAAGTATTATAGTATACAAAAACATGTATTTGCAAATTGTAAGAAAGGGGGTATAATCAGTAGTATAAGAAGGATAGGAAGAAAGATCATAGTAAACAAATAAAAGTAGCTATCTATTATGAAGACAATAAACAGAGCGAAAAGAATTAGAACTTTTGAATTCATAAGTAAAGGAAACAACTTGCCTGTGCATTTAACTTTTGTGGCAACAGCAAAATCAGCATGAACCATGGAACAACAAACCAGGGAAAGTTAGACATGGACAGTTAATAACTCAGGTCACGTGTAAGGTTACTGGTTTATTGTTATTACATGTATGTTAACAACGTTTACACAACAAAAATATCACATGGGAACATGAATGGAGGACAATGGAAAACATGTCAAAAACATGTCAAAAACTGTTACATGAAACAAATAAAATATAAAATAGTTAACAAGTTTATGGAAAACCGCACTGATTTTGAATGTTTTGCTGTTCCCCATTGCTATTGTCATGAATACATGTATGTTTACATGCTTGTAAGTCAAGCAAACACACAGCATCCGAATAGCTTTTTGTGGGCAATGCAAAATCAGTGCAGTCCTTGTTTAAGTAGGATATGGTCTGTTATTAACACTAAATACTCTCTGAGATTAATCATTGAAATAAAACCTACCCTATAAAGGGTGTCAATCTGTGCTAGTTGTTGATGCTATGCCCAAATGCCTTCCTCCTCCTCCTGCACATGCAGGGCGTGGTTTTCCATGGCAACACGATGTCATCAGCAGGTTGCCATGGCAGCGGGCATGTTACCACGGTTGCAGGCGGAGGAAGAACCAGACTCGGTTAGTATTATTAACTTGATGTTATTGTACACTTACGTTAAGCTAGGGTAAGTAAAAAACAAAAAATCAACTCATGTATGATTAAGTGCTGAACAGTGAACACCAATAATGACAAACTCAGCCACAAGCTTGCTTCACCTGAAAATAAAATGCAAAGCAAAACAGCAAAATATTTGATAACCAGGAACACATATCAAAATGCATTGCTCGATCAAGATGCTGCCTTAATTGATTTTTCAACAATTGCACAATTGTCAGGTTCTGAAACATTGTGCTACCAAACATGGAAGCAAAGATGCCGTGCAAGCTTTGAAAGTCTTTGAATTTAAAAGAAAGCTTTTGACTAAAGACTACACTTCAAACAGTCTAGCTTGGTAGCACCATGGTTCATTCACCATGCACTTAAATCACCCATATGTCTTGGCACCTTACACAACCACGAAAGAACCAGATACAGTAGCATACAGCTTATAACCTAACGGAAGTTCTCATTCCATGAGTATGCATGAGCAAGACAGGCTCTCAATTCCAACACTAGGCGTGCAAGTCAATTCAACTTCAACCTTATGAAGGGAAAGCAATCTGTTAGTAGACAGTTAGTAGGACACCCCAAAAAGCTGCCAACATCTAGAAGATGCACTGAAATAAGTACAGGCACTACAGAGGGAAGGTTAGTAGTTAAGTTGTCTGACCCAGTATATGTATGTTACTGGTGAGACCAGTAATGTCAGTATCACTTTATTTTACATAGTTTTACAAGTTTGTTCTCTATCTGTATCACCCTAAGCGCCGCTAAACCTCTTCACCAGTGAGCGATCCAAAGTCAACTACAATCTAAGAAAGTTCTTTTAATTGGCTTTGTTACGTGGTTGATTCTGGATCAGCTCAATGCTAGGGCACCTTGTGAAGTGGAACATACCTTGCCGTATTTACACATTTTTACCTTAGGAGAAGCAAGATCAGAGGGCGATAGAAGCTCTGTCCCTGAGGGCGATAAGAGGTCTGTCGCTGAGGTTATGGGGCCTTGTTCGCATGATGGAGAAGCTATGGGGCCTTTCTGTAAGTGCTTTGTCCAGCAAGCAAAAGGACAACAAGAAGATAGAGAAGCCTTTAGTTGGGGTCAGTTTTGGGACCAGTAGTGGGAGAGTGACTAAAGGCATTGCAAGCAGAACAACACTTCATTGCTAATTTGACTTTAAAGGAGTACTAACCTCCAGAAGGAGGTGCTATATTTCGACAGGCATTTATTTTTGGAATTGAAAAATGCATATTATTTTACAGTATACAATTAAATGCCCATTTTGTGCGCAAGTCTTAAAACGCATCGAATCCAGGACAAACTCTCCAAATACCCTCAAAACTATCCCAGAATACACCACGCTACCCCATTGGTGTCTATGTTTTAAACAAAAAGTTACGTTACAGACCTCATTTCGGGGGCGATAAGAAAAATTCGTACCATTTTGTGTTCTTTGGTATCTTACCAACCATTGTCCTTCTTGGTGTTCTTATCGCCCCTCATTTATGCCGCAAATATTGACGATGAAAAAACGGCGTAATCTAGTTATCCTTTCCATAAGTGGCGTAATCAAATTATCTGTTCAAGTTATACTTACATGCAAATAAGTTGAGAAAAGCAAAACACGCAGGATGAAACTGGCTCCCACTGTATTTGACATCCTGATATTATAATATCCAAGCCACAGGTCAAGCAAAGTAAAGCAAGTAATTTCTCAATAATCAGCTTGTTAGTGTGCTTGTCTCCTACCATTTTCGCCGAAAAATGTTTATGTTGACTTGAAGTGTATGAGCATTGCGTAAGCCAGGATTCCCGGATGTATCAATTGTGGTTCAGCATGGGGGAAAATGATATTAATATCACTTTACAAACATGCGCCGCTCAACTTGTACAAGCGAAATTATGTAAAAAGTCTGCTAGTTATGTATTCACTGCAGCATGATGTATCGGAAAATAGCACTTCCTTCTGGAGGTTAGTACTCCTTTAAAGCATAAGGATGCTGCAATTTTAAGTAACTGGTCAGAATTTAAAAAAAAATGAATTCTGACTAAATATCAAGGGAAAAATTTTGTATCAGAACAAGGACATTATACAGAAGGAATTTTCTTGCTTAAAGTTTTTTTCTTAAAGATTATATTGCGAGTTAAATAGAAGATTCAGATGAAAGTTGGATGGTAGCAAAGGCATTTACCCCTGGCGCTGTAAGGATATGACCAGTACAATAAAGCATATGTGAATAGGAATATAGGAATCTAGGAAACTAGAACAGGAGTTTAAAAAGAGGAAGTTTGGCCTATATGCATCACCATGGTTACCTCTTTATCTGTTACCAGGGTGATAATTGGACATGGCTGGTCCGATGAGGGGAGCTCCTTTTTCTTGGTAGCACGGAAATAGGGCAGGAAAGTAACTTTTTTACCACATTTTAAGACTCTTAAATTTTGTACATTGTACATGCGTGTTTAAAAATTTAAAAGTGTAAAATTAATGTAAAATGTCAAATATTGAGATTTTTATACAAACTGAAATCAAGAAGCTTTGATATGATTTGTGCAAAAAAGTTGATCTGAAGGGTGTAAAATTTCACCACAAAATTAGGAAAATGTTTACCTTTTCACTGCTTGGATCATTTAAGGGTATATCCACAATGGGCAAAGGGGTCTGGCTAGGGGAGGGGGGTTTATCCTTCATTAGATGCAGCAGTGGGAAAAGGAAAGCACTTAACAGTTGACAATAACTGTTATAACTGAATGTTGGTCCTGTTGGACATTAAGAGGAAACTGCCTGAAACAACTGCAACTAACACTCTTCATACATCAAAGTTTCAAACTTACGAAAATGCTGGTAATAACAATTAGGTTACTTCTTTCTTACAGTGTAATGTTGAAATCACCATCTAATATTTTTCATGATGCAGCAAATCCTGTTGAAGAATGTGTGTAATTAAAACATTGATCGATGAAAAACAGTCAAGTGCTAATTGACCTTGGCCTACGATGTATGACCTCACCTGATCAGGGGAGGGGCCCTGTCCATCAGTAACGGACGATCCGTTCATTTCTTCATCAAAGTTGTCGTGCATCAGTTTAATGCGGTTCTGATTCTGTAAGGGTAGGGGAACAAAATCATTGTAAAATTCTGCTAATAGATGGCGAGGCTCTAGGTTGTCAACAGTATATGTGCTTCTCTTGATATGTTTCTATTTACATGTACTTGTGACCATTTACATCATTTGCAACAGTCCATAGCAAACTGGCTGTCCACATTATGGGAAAGCACTCAAAACACTACATGTGTGCCTCAGACAAAAACGCTGTTCCACACAAACCTTGTGCAGAACTGTTTCTGTTTGGTCAAGATATTAAATACAATGTTGCTGAAAGTGTATTAAATGGTTTAGATATACCCACTGCATCTAATGTCTTTTTGTAGCAGAAATTCACGGTCACAGTTTGTGGTGATGTACATGTATGGAAAACCATCCCCAACCTCACCTGTTGTTTAAGTTGTTGTACAAACTGTTCCCTTTCCCTCTTCAGTGCTGCCACATCATCCATCGTCTTCTTCTTCTTGGAGGAGGAGAGTTCCAACAGGGCGATGTTGGCATCTTTCTCACTGATGGCTGCCAGCAGCGCCTCCTGTCTGAAAAGGCAAGAACAACAGCATTCACAACTTTTTCCCATCATTGAGTAGAAGAGCCACCTCCCTGCTGCACATTCAACTACAAGTACATACTCCAGAACAAATCAGTCTAACAGTTTAAAGGCATGAATCTTTCCAATTCAAGAAGTATTTATTGTCAGTGAGCACCACAGACTCTCTGCAACCTATGATCCACTGCTCACAGAGTCACGTGTCGTGTGTAATCTTCTGCATAACATCATGTCACAAAAGCTTTGTTAATTCTTACTTAAACACATTCACATATATGGTGACAGGAGTCTAAATCCCTTCTACTATAAAATTGCAACATTACAATGTATGTTACCCAACACCAGTTACCATGGTGAGAGACAGTCTGTTTCCGTCAGGCCAGAGGTCATTGTTTGGAGAAGAAAAAGAAGAGGAAACATAGCAAAAAAATGTTTTCCTTCGGTTAACACAATTACAGTATACCCAAACGCCAAAGTCATGTCTGTGGTGTGTTACCCCGAAAGGCGGTTATACCGGCTATACAGATACAGATACAGATGTCTTACTTCATCTCCATAACTTCCAGTAACTGTTTTTTCCTGTCGGCACGTAGCTGGGCCAGACGGTCCTCCTTCTCCTGCAGGCTGAGTGATGTGGACGCCAACTTGGCATTGGTGGCCTGAAGGTGCTTCTTCATTCTGTCAATCTCCTGTGTCATTTCGTCAACCTTAAGGGGCAGAGCAGAGTTAATCTCTGACATAAAACATGCCTCAGTCTATCACTGAACCATCACACAGCTGGTGTGAAAAACGTATTGTCTGTGGGTCAAAAGTTTGAGGAAAAGGATTTTTGGCAGAGTCATTTTAAGCAAATATTTACATATATGAGGTATCTCCTGATTCCTTTAAACTTACTTTTCATAACTGGTTTTCAGCTTATACAATATCCTAACTGTCTGGTTTTCTATATATCCTTTACACAAAGGAAAAGTATAGTCAGCAGCACAGATGCCAAATGTATCTTCTATGCTAATTTGTACATGTACATTCCTGATACTACATGTCTGTCAACAGTCACTTGTCTTGTTTACAGTCTTGCCTCGTTAGTCACAGTCATTCTCAACAGTCTGAGCAGTCTCTTGGTGGAAGTGGACATTAGTGAGAAGTGATTGGCTGATCCTTGACTGGGCAAAACCATCTCCCAATGCTCTGTCCAAGTAGACGCCAGATCCTACACCAAGAGTGTCTAATTCAAGGTCTGTCTTTTGAAGAAGTACATGTACAAGTGCCAACCATAGCGTTTACAAGGGGCCACACTTACAAATCCATTGACTTTGTCATTAAGTTAACAAAAAAAACTATGACTATGAAGTAAAAGTCATTGAAGGGTACTTACTTTTGAAGTTACATGTAAACCTTGCCTACATCTGCTTGGTAGAGTTTGTACATGTCTAAATGAAATTTAGCTGAATATTGCACATTTAGTACATGTACACATGTACAAGTACATACAAGAACACAGTTGGTCCAGCCAGGTTTACTTTACTCTTATTTCCATTTTTTTAACACTGGTGCAATTGCCAAGTGGTTAAAGTGTTCACCTTGCATTCAGTAGGTCGTGAGTTTGATCCCCAGCCAAGTCATACAAAGACTGCTTTCTCTGTTTAGCACTCAATGTGGACTAGCCCCCTGAAGGAGTGTTTGCACTACTTTGTGGCCCAAGGGCTATTAAACTGCCCTATAATTATGCACCACGTACTGTGGGAAAGACTTGAATTGAATTAATTTCCTTGCTGTTCCTCTATTAGTGAGCTCCTGGACGTACCTGTTTTTCTACCGTCTGTTTCCCAGCCTGTGTCTGTGCCAGCAGCATCTCTCTCTCTGCAGTGATGTTCACACTCTGCCTCAGGGCCTCCTCCAGCTCCTCTATTCTGTCCTCCTTCTGACGAACTATCGACTGGAGAACACACATCAAAAACATTCCTCAATATTCTACTTCGTGTCTATTTCTTAGCTGCCCAACTTGCTTTCCAAAAACTCAGAGATACAACTTTTGTATATATGCATAACCATCCATGAAAAAATGTAACTATTGGTCAACAAGTTTTGCACTATTTCAGTATAGTGTAAGTTCCTCATTTGGTCAAAATAATTACATTGTATATTAAGCATGTGTTTGGAAAGAGATAGAGTACTTTTACATGATGAGGAATGTGATGCAATGTATACAATGTAAACACGTGAAGCTGGACAGCAGTAGAAAAGTAGAGAAGGCATCACTTAATTACTTACAAAATACAAAATGAAACAGTTCATGCACACAGGTTAATGATCAGATGAATGTTGTGCCTAAACTGCGTATATTCCATTTACAGAACATATGGAACATCAGAAAACACACTGGAGGTAACTGGGGGGGGGGGGGCACACATAAAACAATTTCAGGTACCAGTAGTTCAAAATAGCACTGAAACTAGAAAAAAACATCAATTACAGAACAAAGTTTGTAAGTTGCAATTACACAGAGAAGGATGACAACAACAAACATAACCTAAAATGTTTTCTAAATCTTAAAGGGAAATCATAAGCATGTATGTTGGACAGGGGGACTGACTGGCTGAACAGTCCTGTTACACTTTACCTTTTCTTCCATGACTCCCATTTTCAGCTGCAGAAAGGCAACATGTAAGCCAGTATTTAGCAGTGTGGGAGACAGTGCACACTCAGATGGAAAGTGTTCCTCTGTAACCAAGCCAAGTACATGTACCAACTTCTCTCAACAATCGTAAAAACTGATTGCAGTATGCAACCACTTCAGAAAGTATCTGCAATGATTGGCTTTTCTTTTATGGAGTACATGGCTGAGCTCCAAGACTGCAGTAGACTTGGAGAATTGTAAATGGCCTGGCTCAGAGGACACAAGCAGAATTCAGAAGATTAATATTAGTCTGGTGGAGAGAATACGGCACTTTACGATACACTTGGAATGTAGGATTGTCCAAGAGTACATGTAGAGCAGATATGATGCTGGGCACAGTGGATGTTCATAAACAATTGGCTGTATCATGTTTTTTTTCTTATTCCCGATTCTCCCAATCATTTCCACAGATGGTAAGTGAATATATGAGTCATGAACATCCAGCTGATGCATAGCTTAAAAGCAGAGAGTTCAAAAGCATGAGCATTAGTAAGAATTAGTAGTCACCATGCACATGGACCTTTGGATGTATGAGACGCTGCATGCACCAAAGGTCATAGGTCATGCAGTAGAGGTATCATGGGAAAATCGGACCAAAGTCGACTGTGATTGACCTCTGTCTGGTATTACTGATGGAGAAATGTCCACAGAGACACACCACGCCACATTCTACTCTAGCCTTAGCGATGAGGAAAAAACCGAACTCAAAAAAAGCAAAGAAAGGTGAGAAATGGCAGACAAGCGTCAATCTCGGCCGATTTTGGTGGGTTTTCCCAGCGTTGCGAGAAACGTGGGACTGGTTTTACCTTGTTAGAGCTATGATACACATATTGGACCAAGGAATCCATTACTGAGGGCAGTTGAATCTGCTGAGTCATCGTGGGGTGGGGGTGACAAATGACATTCACAATATTAGATCAGATCAACACTACTGTCCAGCTAAGGACTCATTCCTACCAGGCAGCCTCCAGATATTGTGAGGACACTCGAACGTGCATTTGGCCTACACTACTGAAGCAGTTTTGATAAGAATTTAGATTGTAATGTATGCTCCGAGTGCTTTGTTTCAGTAGTCTACGTGGCAAGAGACCAATAGTCTTGCCCTACTTTGGACTGTTTAAATCACATGCTCTAAATGCAGACCAGCATGCTATCTCTGGCATTCAGCAAGCTTGCACAGATTCTGTCCTTAATATGTTTCATGTCAATGAATAAGCATTGCATTAGCATTTTAAACCCTTTGTGAACAGGCTAGTGTGTTTTAGAAAATTTTGTTTGCGGCCTCCATTGATATTGCAATTTAAGCACTAAGAAACTACCTAAGAGAAAAGAAGCAGTAGAGTGAGCTTCCAATAAAACAGCTTATTCAAGAAAGTTTATTCAAGAGCAGCCAAACAGCAAAATGTTGGGGTCATAAAGAAAATTTCTGAGAAATCTGGCTTTGTAATTATAAGTGAGGTTGTTCCCTGCTAAAAGTAATGCTACATTTTAGCATAAGATTATTCTTCCAATATAAACTAAACTAGAACTTCCTACAACTGGACCTACATCTAATGATTTTTTCATCTTTTTATTTCAAGGTAAACCCAATAGAGGGACATGCTAGTACAGGATGAATAGAAAATGGGATGATATACGAGTAATATTGTTTGTGTAACACCGAAATTAAGTGATGGAGGGGTTGATTAACAACAACCAGGCAAGCATGAAGAATGAAAGAACAGTCAAGTTAGATGGTACTGAGAAAAGAGAGGCATGGTTTTCAGCTTTGAAAGTATACCTTTAATTTTAACATGTACCAAATTCCCTTGTCCATGATCAATTTATTTGACAGAACAGTTTTATTGAAACAACACTGCACAATACCTGAATACCAGCCTTCTTCACTCACTTCTAAGAATTAAATGACCAGGAGATATGAAATGGAAAAGGAAGATGTGATGGAAGAAATGGCAAGAGAAGAAATTGAGTAAAAGCGAAATCCTATTGAATGAGATGAAAGGAAAAAAAATGGCGTGGACCATATCACCCTACCTGCATCTGCTGGGAGCTTTCTGATTGGTCGTCAGCATGCTTGCGGGCCTCCTCCAAAAGCTGTGCATTCTTCTTTTTCTCTGTTTGTTCACGGTGCTTTATCGAGGCCAGCTTCTTGTTGGAGTCACGCATTTGTCTGAAAAATTTTAGGCTATTTAGTACATACAACACAACTCAGGTTCAAAATTTCAACTTGAAAAAGATAGTGAGACAGATCACTGGACATTGGGAAGAACAGCTTAGGATGACAGTGCCATCCAGAATAAATAAAGCATTCAAATCAAAATGACTGCAGTGGTGTGCAAATTGTGATTTGAATGTACAAAGTCACAAACCTTTGGCATTGATCTAAAAAAAGCTTTAGATAAACCACTAACAATGGCATTTCCCAGCCACTAAAATCATTTGACGGAATTTGACAGAAATTGGCTTGTATAGATATGGAAAAAGATGACAGTAATCTAAGCTTAGTCTAGCAGCATAATTTGCCCCTCAACAAGCAGGAAAAACTTTTTTAATTAGGGATTAAGGATCAGGATTTCAAAATTTTTCTGGGACTCCAGTGCAATGACTAATGTCTTTGAGACAGGATGTTATGTCAAACAAGATTGAGATGACAGCTAAAAAATTCAGGCTGGTTAGATATAGAACACTGATTCCCGGCCTCATATCGATCACCTTTCCAGTTCCCTGATCCTGAGGTCCTTCTCATGTTTCTCGTTCTCCATGTTCTATAGTGGTTGCCATACATTGTCCATGTACATGTACCATGTAATATCATCCCAATGTGTGCAGGAAGGTAGAAATCCACCTTTTGCAAACAGGATTTTAGTTTGAAAGGCAAAAATCTGAAATTCACCTCTCCAGCTCTCTGATCCTGAGGTCCTTCTCGTGTTTCTCGTTCTCTGTCTCCTTCAGGATCTCCAGCAGTCGGTCCACCTCCTGCTGAGACTTGGTCACCTCGTCACGGAACTGCTTCACCTGGTCCTCCAGCATACCAGACTTCTCCGCTGCCTCCTTATTGGCCGCCGCCTGCTCAGCAGACTCCTTGGCCTGGGGACGTTGGGAAGAAGGTGGGCAGTGAGAACCTAACCGGCGGGATTCCTGTACAGTTGACCCCGAGGGAATATTAACCGTGTCATGCCAATTCTTGGATGGAAATTTAGAAATGAAGCATGCAAATGTGCCTGAAATGTTTTGAATGAACTATTTTTGAAGGGCAAAATTACATACTAAGTATCTTCACGGCTGTGTTTTATATTAGGCTTCTGTTGTTTCTTTATACAGACAGTTTTTGAGAAGTATGTAAATGATGTAGTTGGTCCTAACTTTTACCAAATGAACACACTTTGATCTCTATTTAATGATTCATATTACCAATAACTCTTTTTTCAGTTCCTTTGCTATTACAGGGTCAACTGTTAAGAAATCATTCGTGGTGCTATCACAGTTACGGCACATACACACACATGAAACATTGACTAACAGTGTGACACATACACATATGACAAGACATGACACTGATGTTACAATGAGACATGAAAAGCTGCAACCTGCTTTTAGCACGACAAAGTAGATGAAATCGACATGCATTACTGAAGGTTCTGTGGGTTTTATTTGATTCTTGTCACCAGCATCAACCTTTAACCCTGAAGTAGGTTTTCAAAACCTTGATAAAATTAACTGAATCTTTGTTATACAATGATGGAGAAAGAAGTTTTGATATCTTCATGATAGGGACCAATTATTTGATGACAGTGTATATTAACAAACAAAGCCTAAGGAAGACACTATGGTTAATATTTTGTTAATTATTTGAAAATACTACAGTTCAAGCTACATGTACATGTTGTCAGATTTTATAATGAAGTTAGGATGCTGTTAGGTATTACTAAGTTAATTTGGCATGAAATTAGCCATACTGTTAAATGTAGGATGGCCTTTGGTGGAAGCATGGTTAGAATGAAGGTGGGAATAGAATCGTTGTACATTTTGTACATTTCGGAAATAAAACTATATGTGAGAATGGAAAACTTGTTAAAGTGGGTGAAGAAGAGATTGCTGTTAAAAAATGGTGTACGGAGTTGATGTGTTGGTTTTAAGTGTAATGCATGTTAAACCATGGAAACAAGAGTGAGTTGAGACAAAGTAAATGTTAGATAGCATTATGTGGAGGCAAAATATCTTTGAAGATGACATCTATCATATCTATCACCAAATACATTCATGTTTTGTTTTAATTTCTCCTAAAATGTCTTAAGCAACATGTAGAGATAGATACAATTTGTGAGTCAATATCATACAAAAGGATAACTGAAACATAGTTTTCCTCAAGAAGTTAAGCCCTAAAATGAGTGAAATGATTGAGGCAAAATATTTATTAACTTCAACTTTAAGAATGTCAATAATATGAGTATGTAAGCTTTCAAGTTAGAAGTATTGTTTTGGGGGCCTGATTTTTGTAAAAGATGAATGAGTGAAATTTTTGTTTTGTTCCTAACCAAATATGAGAAATGTCACCTTGAACTTGAAGACATGTGTCATACTGGCCACCTTTAGTCTAAAAAGGCACTGGAACTTTGGAAAAGCTAATCAACTTTAAGTCTTATATCTCTACAGCACTGTAAATGTTCAACCATACAGGCATGAGTTCCTCTTTATTGTTACTTATACCATTTTCATACTTGTGGAAATGCTAGCCTTCAAAGTTATCAAGTTCCAAAGTGTGCAGTGACTTGCTAAACTCAAAGTGACCAGTGTTATGTGTGTGTTCATGGATGATATGGTGGAGTATCTGATATAGCTGACTTACTGCACGGACTTGCCTTGCTTGCTGGAGGGGTGGGGAAAAGAGGTGCAGGTATTTCAGAGCATGTACAATTGGTTCATCGGTGGTCATGTTAAACTCAAATTACAGCAGCATCTCTGCCAATCATTAAATTTTATACTTACATTATTGAATTACACGCAGAATGCGGGCATGTACTAGTAAGTCATAAGTTGTGGTGAACTTCAGCACTGGAATAAGCTTTACATTTGTGTTTTTGGATTACAAATGGGCTGAAGCTAGCTATATAACAACACGTTACATGCCAGACAAACTACAATTTATTTGTGTACTTCTACTCTATACTAGTCTTCACAACCATGAATCAGCTAGGCACGTGAGATAGCAACAGTTACAGTTTTTACAACATGCAGACTTCACTCTTTGACCTCAATGGGGTCATGGTACCTTGAATTATAACACTGATTACAATGAAATATAACATAATACAATTGTATACAGGTATGTCTGCTATGTGCCTAGAGCATGCATACAACAGTAACTTTTAAAAGTTAAATCTTTAATTTCAAATTTTTCACATATCACAGCAGCACACTGACCAGGGATGGAAGCATGTACAATGTACATGAAATTATGTATCTAACAAATACGAATAATTATTACTTCATGTGTGTAATCTGACCTAAAAATGACGATATTAATGTTGCTGAACAGTTACTGTATTTTTGTGTCAACCTTTTTCTGGAAGAAGATGTAACCGAACTCTGTATCGCCAAAAACTACTTTGTATATGATGCAGTAGATAACTTTTGTTTGTCACGAACTTGTAAAATCAAACTAACAAATGCAATCTGTCTTCTAGTCAGGCCAGATTACACAGCCACCATCATGGAAGTGGAGGACCACAGCGAAACTTACCCGTTTGACTTGCATCTCAAGCTCGTTGACTTCCTCTGTTTTCTGTGACAACTGGATTTCCAGCTGCTTGAGACGCGAGTCCTTTTTCAGGCCATTGGAGGCAAGAGAAGACGCATGTTCTTTTAGATCGAGAAGGTTGGACTGCAGGAAAAACAGAAATATGCCAGCGTAGGGTGGGGTTAGGCAAGGGTCACGGACACGGGGGGAAAATCTTACATGTACTCTAAGCAAAAGTAAAGCCTTCAATGAATGTGCAAGATACATTGTTTTGAAAGACTTGAATTGATTTAGAAAGACTATGTCTTTCTGTATGACCAATGATGTTGCAACTCAGAATGTGGAGTGTGAAAAAAAAGCTTCACAGTGTATATGACAGTTACATATACATGTGATAACAAAAAACAAAACACACATATTATATGATTGTCATATATTATTCTGTCAGTAAAGCTTTGCACCGCCTGAAGTCAAAAGAATCACCTGAAATGGCCATCTGGGATGTCAATCTTGTAAAATTTCAAAATACTGTTTCCATCAACTTACAAATACTCTGAATGCCTGTTTAAGGCTTGTATTTCTGATTTTGTTAAGGAGATACATGTACCACCGTAGTTTTACCATGGCCAAATTAATCCAGCGTTCACAGGGTCATCTTAGGTCAACAAATACCTGATGGCACCTTTACTGTGAATGTGCTGCTCATAACAAAGTCCAGTACAAATCATTACATGGAGATGAGTTTGACCTTTTTTACAGCATAATTACTTCTGAGGTGCAAAGGACATAAAAATTAGGACAGTCACGGGAACAATACATTTTACTATAAATGTCTTCTGGGGGACATTTTTTTTTGCAAATTGCACCATTCTGGATCTACAGTACTGCAGTTGGTGTTTAGAAAACATATGAAGTAACAGGGTGAAGAAAAAGGACAAGGCATCCAATGATATCTCCAAATGCTACGATAGGAGCCATACAAGGATGGATTGTAACTCAAACAATTAATTTTAAACTTTTAAACAAATCATAGTGACTGCAATTTTGTTTTAAAACAATGAATGTACTGTAAATGCATTTATGTTCACGAGGACTTTTTTCGCGGTATCAGTCAATTTGAGAGTTTGTGAGGTATTTGACTTTGCGAGTCAGTGATTTTTAAATGATTTTAGAAATTATTAGAATACTTACAGTAAGTTTAGAGCTAATCCATGTATATTGGAATACTGAAAAATTGCTTCATGGTTTTAAAACCCCCAAATTTGGACCATCTCCCACCAGTTATTAGCTTTGATTCTGCATGATACTGTAATTTGTGGCCTCTTTATTACCTTCCTGATATGGCCCAGAGGCGTCATATTCTAGAATCATAAAGGCTGTCAATGAAATCAGAAGATAAAAGAAGCTATTCACTGTGCATCTAGGACACTTCAATCAATCTCTATCGTGTGAAAGAAAAAATAAGGCCATCGGTAATGAGCAAAAAATGGACTAATGCAAAACTTGTAAGCTTTTTACATCGAGAATAGAAACCAAATGGCCTATGAGCCTTTAAGAATGTTTTTTAATCATTTTCTAATAAGTTGTAAAAGGCAATGGAACTACAAAATAATTTACGCATATAAGAATTCATGGATGCAGTATAGCATTTATGCCAAATAGAGATGAATGTTCCTGCTATATTGATCATGAAAGCACAGCAGTTACATATGGACACTTCAGTAAGACTGTGAGGTCACAAAAAACCTCTTTCTACTTCAGAATGAGCACAGGGGTTCACAGGGTAGGCACATCTATACAATCACGTCATGTATAAAGTCAGAGCAGAGTAATGACAATGACACAGTATGCAGCTGTATGCATGTAAACTCATACTCTGACTGATACATTATTGGTGTGAAGACATCAAAATGTAAAGCATCTCGTCAAGAGAAACACACACAAACACAGAACCTTTGCAACAAAACAAAAAGCTAAAAAATCTTTCATACATGTAGCCTAAACAATGCTATTTGATGAGCATAAGTACAGAATGTACAGTACTAAGGAAAAGGTAATGTACAATAGAAGTAAAATCATTGAAACACTGAAATCCCTTGGTTCACCAAACCTCCTGTTTGTGCCAAGCTCACCTGGTTCTCAGCCAGCTCGTTTTGCAGGGTCTCCACCTTGTCCTTCAGCTCTTTGTTTTCCTTTGTCAGGTTGTCCTGTTCTTCCTGTCGCTCGCCCTCTGAACGCTCTCTTTGGGATTTCAATCTCTCTATCTGCCGCTCCTACAGGTAGGTGTTGATGACACATTCAGTGGAAGAACTTAATCAAAGAAGGATTCAGTAACACAGTAACACATTAACAGTCTGGTAATCATTTTGTTTGTTTCGCATAACCGGTAAACCGCCTTCAGGCGTAACACACCAGTTTTGTACATGTGCGCACATGTACAAGCTGCGTAAGACCGGACTGTAAGGTTTTGAACCACTCACACCGGGAAGATCCCCTACTCTTTTCGATAAGTGCGGTGGGTTCTTTAACGTGCATGGGGTGTGGCTCTCCCAAACACGGGACCTCCATTTACCGTCCTATCCGAGGGACGTCCCTAACCGAAGCTAGGTACTCATTTTCACCTGAGTGAAGTGAGGAAAGTCGTGTAAAGTGCCTTTCCCAAGGGCACAAGATCGGTGACATGGGCAGGGTTCCAACCCACAACCTCTGGGGTGTGAGCCGAACGCGCTACCGACTGCGCCACACGACCCCACTTTACATACCATCTTTCCTAACATCAATTCTTAACAATTGGTAATAGTCAGTCATAATCATAATGATAAGCGTAAAAAAAGCCATACTGATAAGCCATGAGATTTTAAAATCATTTTGAAGCCCAGTCTGCTGTCTTCTACAGTCTGCCTACTGTCCAAATGTCTGTCACAGTCCAACCTGTCCTGTCTGTCCTCTTTGTCTCTTGTCTCTCCATCTGTCACTTGTCATCTGTTTGTGGTAAGTACAGTGTTTAGAACAAGTCATGCTGAAATACTGTCATGCTGCATGTGTCTATAACTACAAAAGAAAAGTTTTAGAACCGTACAGTTGTGACAAATCATTGCCCTATTTCATACTATGACAGAGTTATCAGTAATTTGTGACAAGACAGTACCTTCTCGCTGAGTGCTTCTTCCAAAGTGATAAGAGCACTGTCCGAGTTACTAGTGTCCTGCTGAAGTGACTTGACCCTCTCCTTCATGGTGGAGATCTGCTTGTCCTTATCCTTTAGCTGCTCCTCAAGATTCTCATTCTAAAGGCAATAAGTACCAGTTTATACAATTGTTGGTGATATATTTTACTGTGCACTGCATGAAAAGCCTTAACTGACCACATGAAAGCAAATTTGAGAAAAATTAATGCACATCACTGCAAGACTAACTTCAAATGATTATATAAACTACAATGAACAAACTACTCGGTTCCACTGAGAGAAAGACTCTGTAGTTGGATTGCCCAAGTGGACAATTAAAATGCTTCATCCACAGCAAAAACGGTACTTGGATAAACCAGTCATTTATCACTGCTATTCGTAGCTTAGAAGATCACCGTAGCATCCATTGGAGGCGCTAAAGGATTCTGCCTGTCAATTTACAAGTGAAGGAAGGATTTACAGCTCATTTGGCATCCCAATCTTCTTTGTAACAAGACCCCATTACAGTCCGATGAACACGTCAATCATCCTGCCCACCTTTCTCTGCAGCACAGTGATCTTCCTCTCCTTGATGTCCATCATGTCCTTGACCTCTGTCAGCTCGGAGCTGTGTTTGTTCTTCTCCGAGCTGAAAGAGGAGATTTGCTTGTTCTTCTTCTCCAGGAGTTGGTCCTTCTCTTCTAGCCGCATCCGCATCGAGTCAATCTGGACAGTCAAAAACATGTTTTTTACCTTCAGACCTCAAGTATTAATAAAAAGGAAAACAAGATCTTTTTCTTCATTTTCTTGTCAGAAAGACAGTAATATTCTATCTTATGTGATTCTCAGCTGTTTTACTGTATGTAAACAAAAGTATGCAGTCATAAGAAATGAATTCAAAATGAAACTGCTGGGAAAACAGTGAAAATACATATATTTTTCTTGAATTAACCAAAAGTAAAGTATCATGCAATAAGTTGTACTGAAGAAAGATACAATAGACTGTAATCTTGTTGCTACATATACATTTGCATACTACACACATGTCAGCATACACCAACTGATACAGTACTAGGGAACAACTCACGTCTGCTGACAGGATCTTGGAGTGTTCCTCCTTGGCTGCCAGGGACTCCTTTAAGACGTCGATGTGTTGCTGCTGGTCCTTGAGCTGGTTGTGCATGGTGTCCACCTTAGTCTGCATGGTCAGCATCTCCGTCTCCTTCTTGTTCAGTTCAGACTTGAGCTGGTCAATCTAAAAAAAAAACAAGGCATGACAAGGAAACATGCTTTTAGAGTGATGACAGGCATAAATCCTGCTAACCCTAAACTCTAAGAGGCCTGTTCAATGCAGATTCAAAAAAGTTGTTACTCAACATGGCAGCTTGTATGTGGCACATACAAGATGCATTGTAAAATCACCATTGCTACGAGGGTAAAAATGACACAGTTAAAAAAAAACATAGCTGTCAGATCTTACAATCTAGCAATGACATCAACATAAAGAGTCATTCAACTGCAAACTTCATAACTGGAACTACGAGTGAAATTTCACCAAATTCCTATGTCTATTGTTAGGCTGACTGGAAAGGTTAGTATACGCTACAATTTCTACATAGTGATCTACAGGTATGAATGATGCAGTAACTGTAAGTCTGTGGAGTGCAGGGGTAAATAGACCCATCACCATGTCAGCTACCCACTCTAAACACCTGACAAAGGAAAAAGCAGACAGATGCGTTACATTTCATTAGACCGTAATGACTTTCTACATGATGGAGTGACATTTTCTGTCATCCTGAATGATATCATATCAAACACAGCTGCTCATCTACTACAGGAAAGGCGCCTGAGAAATGATGGGATAGGAAAAAACATTAGGGTCAGAAGCAGCAAGAAAGAGTTCCCATCACCCTGACCAGCAGTGCATCACTACTTTACTGCCACCATAGTAACCATCACCATAGTAACCATCACCGGGTGGTACCTTGTTCAGCACGAAGGCCTCTGCCCGGGGAGACAGAGGGGTCATGTTTTCCCATGGAGGCGAAGCGTTACTATCATCCGAGGTATAACTGCCATTTTCCTGGGAAGAGAAAAGGACTTATCTCTTGTCAATCTCTCCGGATCTTGTGTTTTAGGTGCAGATGTAATGGAAAATTCCAACAGTAGCTGCCATACTGCCCTTACACACACGTACATGTACATGTACATGTATACTGCACTTACACATATATGCATATGAGACCACGAAAGGACTGTTGGAATAGCAGGAGCCCTGATGCATCAATTGAACGACTGCCCGTTGATCCGTCCATTGAACGGTCCGTCCGTTTATACTGTATCACAGCTGCCATAGACCGAGATGATATGAAATACCTTTTATATGATATCTTAGGCAACTATTAAAAATAATTTACCACACATTTCTCAAAATAATAGCATCATCATCAGCTGCTCATGGTCCAAGCAATCGATTTTCTTAATGTTATTAGTGAATATTATGAGAAGAGGGCATTTTTTGTGCAAATGACAAGTTTTACCTTGTTCTTCATGAACTTGGAGTGGGACTTGTAGACCTCGAGCTGTTTGACTTCCTCCTCTCGCTCTTCTGAACTGACGGCACCGTTAGACCGCAGCGACATCAGGTCCTCCTCAAACTCCCGCAGCTGCTTCTCCAACTGACTGATCTTCTTCTCCTGTTAAGTGAGTTAAAAGACCAAGTGAATACAAGTAGATGTGTTAGACATTCGTGGGCATGATAAAGAATGCTTTCATGTATTATACTTTTGTCTGCAACAATTGAATCATCTAATTTTTGAAAACAAAATATGAATTGACCTGTATCCCAAAACAGTAACAGGTTGTCTACAGAGGTTGCCCCTTTTCTATCTCCTAACCCCATTTTCTATCTCCAAACCAGCAAAGTCTTTGAGAAAACATCAAGCCTTAGTACTCTCATACATGAAGGAAGTAAAAATGACGAATTTTTAAAAGGACCTGCCCCTGAGGCATTGCCAAAATGTGATGGGTACACACTCTCTATTCTCAACAAATCCAATGAAGAGCGAGAGGCATTGCCATAATGTAATGGGTACACACACTCTATTTTCAATAAAGCCAATCAAGAAAATTCTGTGTCTACTTCTTAACAAGTTGCCTACCTTGGACTCAATGATGGCCTGCAGTGCGGTGACCTTGGGGAGGTCGTTCTGCTGACCGTTGCGCTGCATGTGGTGGTGACCGTGGGAACCGTGGGAGCGGAGTTGGTGGCTGTTGTCCGAATACTTCAGGAGTTCCTGCGAAATACAGTCAGACACACCAGCCATGGTTGTAGGACCAAAAATACACAAACTAAATTGTGAAGAAATAACCGTCACATTGGCATTTCCACAAAAAAGTAAAGCTCCTCAGACTATTATGTAGGGTTCTCACTGGGGTATTTGAGCATAGGGACCCCATACACTATGATTTTGGACCCCCTATGCTATGATTTAAACCAGCATAGGGGTGTTTCTTTTGCGGAAGAAACAGACTATAGTAAACAGTTTCTTACCCTTCATAAATCTTTGTGACCCTTAATATAATAAATCTTTACAAAATCAAAATTTGACTTTACAATGAAGCTATAACATAAAACATAAAATTTGTTCCCCTTTCGGGACTCATGTCTTTGGGACTCAATATGGGGCTTGCATCACAAAGAGTTGTCCTTCTGTACCTGACCCGTGCCATGAAAAAATTCTGGTGAGAACCCTGTATACGTAACCGCAGGAAGTACAATGTAACAGGTCGCACCTCCTTCAGGTTGTTGATGTCCCTGTCCCGCTGCTCCAGGCTGGACTCCAGGTGTGTGACTTTGGCCTCGGCTTCGATCATCTTGCTCTTGACGCGGTCGTAATCCCCCCTCTCCTCCTCCATACTCTTCATGGCTAACCCTTTACTCTGCAGCATTTCTAACAGCTTCTTGATCGACTCGTCTCGTGCGGACAGCGTCTGTTTCTGCGTCTCGATGCGAATCTCCAACTCCTCCACCGTCTTGCGCAGAAGGAACAGTTCCTTGTTTTTCCGCTCGTTTTCCGACCACAAGGTTTCATAGTCCAGGTCTGACTGGGAGGAGGAGGTTCCGGGTTTGACTGTCCCCTCCTGGAAGAGTTGGTTGAGGTCTCGCTGGGTTCGCAGTTCATCTTGTAGGGCCTGGATAGTCAGTTGGTGGTGCTGTAGAAATACAATAAGACTCACATTGAGCATCTCAACCTCATAACTTGACACATTATGCATTATGATGTAAACTGCATTCAGTGAGCTGTTTGATACTGTACCTGAAGAAAATGTATGTTAGTGATGTGCATTACATCAAATTTTAAAACAACACTGATATATTGAGTGAGCTTCTTTGTAAATCACTGATGTATGATTCTAGAGTGACAACCATCCAAGGTAATTTGGTGTTAATTTAGTATTTCAAGGACCACTGCTTGTTTTCAGTGTTAATGTCCTTTCATCTTTTTACTTATCTATATCAGTAGATCTATATCCCTGAACCCTGTCATCTTGGACAAAAAAGTTAGTAATTTAAACATTTCAAATGTTTCTTAAAGATTTCAAACCAGCATCAGGTGAATGACCTGAGCCACCTTGCAAGTAATGGTACTAGGCAACACATGATTTATTTGTTTTATGGTGCAGCTGAAATGGAAATCTGCTTATTCGTTTGTCAACCATTTGCTTGTACTGGCTAATAATTAAATTATTAATATGTGAAAAACACAACAGGGGGGATAGGGATGAGTGCATGACTTCAAAGGACAAGTGACACGCAGAATACAAAGACCAATTTGTCTTATATTACATACATGTATGTTTATGCCTGCATGTATGTATGACTTTTTGTATGGTATTTTGGCACAGAATCTATACCAAAATCAAAGTCAAGCAAATATACTTTAATACATGTATTAAAAATTGTCTTGAAAAAAGTATACATTACAAGAGAATCTAATAACTTAAAGGTTAATTTGATATTGGAAGATGTGACAATAAAGTTCCAGTATATCAAAATCTAAAATCACTCATGATCTTAATGATTCATTTTGTAACATTTGAATGAATATCTGTCCCTGAAAAGACACCCTCACTACTTAACACAACTACTGTGTTATCTAAGTGAATAAAAATAATCATGCAGCAAACCATAACATGATCAATGTGAAGTACCCCGTTCAGTTTTACAACCATGAATGTGCAACCAATTTTCCGGCCCTTTGGCTGTTCTGGACAATGCACTTTTGCACCTGACTGGTGGCTATATTCACCTGGGAGCAATTACCCAGGTCATCAAATATTCATGCTCTGTAGGCTTAAATGAAATGAGCAGCAGCATTTCAGACTTATGCCTTTTTTTATCCATCTTACATTGGGCCATGCAAAATTGCACCAAATAAAATGAAATTAAATATACTTCAAGCAGTGAGTGTGACAACTTTTTCTTATTTGGATGTGGACTTTTCCCGTATTATGATAAGCAATCAAAATATGTGTTTGCCTATTACTCATAAAAGACAATCACATTTTCTATTTCAGTCTTAGTATGCTCCCTGTGTAACACCTACATGTATCTGCCAACAAATTTTCCAACTTAGAATTTTCCTTCAGGCAGGCAATTATGGTTGGTGAGCCTTTCAGCAAATTTAGGGGAGGGGGGCAGGAAAAAGCGAGAAAGGGGTCAGAATTGCATCAGATCATCAAGAAAAGGAACTCAAACTTTGTGTATCAGTTAATGAACTGGAAACTTTACTCAGGGCTTAGTCATCACTGTTATCCTTAGCTACAGTTTCATGCCTATTATCTCACAATTATCTCTGGAATGCACTGACTAGAGTTGATGAGTTGACATGGACATTTCTGGGTCATGGGGCCTGCAATCTCCCCCCAAATGTGAGGGTAATTGCAACACTGGACTCCAATCAGTACCCTAAAGAAACCAATTATTGAAAGACTGTGTGGCCTGTGTCTTACATACAGTAGTAGTGAGTAAGCAGGGGAGTGCGTAACCAGGGTTTAATGACATCAGGTCTAGCACAGTCATAAAATGAACGAATTCAAAGTGGATATTTGAAGCTTTTAGGAATATGGTCATATGGACATAGGAATGGACATGGGAATGCTGCTTTTATGCTAAGGTCATGATTCCAGGCAGTTTCAGGGAATGAAAAGTATAATGTAAAATAAAAGACAACAAACACAAAAAAGATAATCATGAGTACTAATCATGAGTACAATCTCAGTGTGTATCTCCTTCAGTTTCTTCACAGATTTGTTGTATTACAATACAATGTTGTAATATACATTTCAGCACAAAGGACAGCACCACTGGATGTTGATGTGACCATCATTATGGCACACATCAAATTTCCTTGTATCTCCTTCAGTTGCTTCAAAGATTTGCTGTATTACAAAACTATGTTGTAATATACATTTCAGCACCAAGGACAGCACCACTGGATGTTGATGTGGTATCATTATGGCACATATCACATTTCCTTGAGAAAAAACTGCTTGTGTAGCTGGATGTTGGGTTGCTACTAGGGTTGGACCTAATCCTTTTAGCGACCATTTATACATTCGTAATACTATGCGAATAAATTGAGCCCAACATGACCATTTGAAAGGCTGAATAATCTATTCCATACGCTAGTACCGGTAAAAAGAGGGATGTTCTAAACATCACAAAAAAATCTATATTTTCATATCAAGACCAATACAATGCAAGTTCTAAATATTGTTAATTAAATGCATCCTAATATTTCAATTTACAACATAAAGGCAAGTAGCCCACTGAACATGTCCTTATCGCAACAAGTTAGATATGCGTAACTTGCAAAAGCCTGACTACAGCACAATGAGTAATGTTACAGCGGCTTCTTAATTCCCTGTCTGTCTACCTCCTTTAGTCAATACATGGTAGTTCTGTAGCTACAAGTTCTTCCTTCTGAGCTGTTTCTGGCTACATAACCATACATCATGCACCTGTGGGTCCAGTGTTACCCTTTCTCCCATCTATTGTATCCCCCATGGCACACTCCTATAAACTGCCGAGGTAACGTGGACATTTATTTCTCTTTCATCTGCAATCCCTGGTGTCATTAGCTGACGCCTCCAGGACAGAAGATGGCTTGCCAAGCTTTGCTGCTCACAAAAGCAAATGTGAATCTAATTCCATCCCCAGAGGAGTCAGACATCTTGAGACAATATCAGGGCAAAGACAGATGCTGACACAAGCAAAGTAGAAGAGAGAGCAGTTTCTCATGTCTGGCCTGGGTCTCTTTGGTTCAATGTAACCCTAGGCTGGAAGTAATTTGATCTGACGTCTCTGACTTCATGTCCATAAGGAGAGATGACAACAAAAGTTTCCATATCCCTAATTGGTCTACCGGTTTAATTAGCCTAAATCAAAATGGCAAAAGTAGCAGAACAGTTGGAAACAAAATACAATCCCTGCAGGAGTCTTTATTGGCAAGAGATGTTGCTGCGTCTTCCAAATGATGGACGAAACACTTGGAAAGAAATATTAAGGCTTTGTCTTCTGTTATTGCTCATCCGAACGGCAGGATTGATCGTGTGCCAACTTGGCACCGGTTTCTTCTCCCATTAGACTCTGCGAACATTGCCTTGAAATGTCTGGAGCACAGAAGGTGGCAATTCATCCTGACAGGCCCAGGTAGCAAATGCAGGTAATAACACATGAGTAATGACTTCCTGTCATCACAGCTTTATGAGAAAACTTTTCTATGACAGATTCACAATAAACCGTCTGCCAACATGGTCTTTTCCACCATAGATGTATGTATGTAAACAATGTTATTATCATATGCCACAGCAAGCAGCATCCTGAAAAAATGGAATGGAATCTTCTAATTAAAGATTAACAAATGGCAAAGAATGATGACTTTGCTACAGATACTAAAAGAAATATGTATCAAATGTGGGATCTTCAAAACTGACTACAATACTTACATGTACATGTATGAGAACTATTCTGATCTGTGGATCTAGTAGTACCAATGTTTGAGAAGGTAGTTCAATACAAACAGTTAACTAGAGATGGTTTGGGCCTGAACAGTCTGCAGACAGAGTACAATGCAGATTACTGCATGGAATGCAGGAAACTTTAAATTAGAGCTGCTGTACCTGCTACTATCAAGCTAATGAGATATACATACTAGAAGAACATATTTGAGGCAAACTTGAAGTTGACTGCCATTGGAACAACGAGACACAATGGTATCCATACATAGAAGAAGTACTTAGCCAGCAGCCACCTTTCACCTGCAGCAGAATCTAGATGTGATTCAGAATGGTGTCATAAATTTGGGAGTTGCAGGAGCTGCAGTTACTTGATTAGTTGAGCCGAAGGTCAGTCATAGAGCTATTGTGAGCTGAGTCTCCAAGCAAATCTGTCGCTGTGTCAATGAGATTGGAACTACTGTTACTAATGGACACTGCATGAGACAGGGTGAGGCTTGTGGATCGGTGATCTAGTGGCCTACAGGAGATATATTGTCAGTAAGAGTTCTGCATCTTGGATTTATGGGAGACTTTACTTCATTGATTTTGGGATTCACCAAGTGGCAGAGTAGGGACCTAAACTACATGTACCAGAACCATTACTAATGATGCCTGCAGGTGAACTTTTGTGAATGAGCCTTCCAGACATGCAGGAGACGGCAAAATTCCCAGGGATTACCCGACTGGCAGCAAGCCTAATCCATTATGAAAAGTGGCAATGAAAGTGGAAAATCTACCCTTCCGAAGGAGGTGTTAGGCTGGCATTCGGCTGTGGATGAGATAAAACTCATATTTATTCCACATTCACCAGAGGCACTGGTGCACTTGACCTTTACTGAAGCATCCAATTCAGTCTTAATCCTACTGAATCAGATATAGTCAACTTTGTGCAAGAGAAAACCTGCTGAAGAAAATTCCCATTTTCGTGCTAGTGTGAACAGAGACTATTATTATATGATGGAACTCTTTAATATATCACACAAATGGCAGGATGTGTTAGTTGTAAATCCAAAGTATTTACTGTGCCAGAAGAGATGTCTGGAATTGACAAGAGACCATCAGAGCCAGTTGAGACATGCTACACTGAGTAGAACTGCTTACATAGTAAGGAAGCCAAAATACCATGATCTGACAGGGCAAATTTGCAACAA